CCTGCTCGTCATCGGATGCACGAGCAACGACTCTCGACTTCGAAATAGGGAAACTTCGGCACGTCGATCGAACAGGTCCGAGGTCTCATGGGAAGCGAATCGATTCATCGTGGATCGACGTGTTAATCGGAGTAAATCGTTGTACGATGCCGATGTAACCGGAACGGGTTACAGGTCTGGCGAAGTTTTACGATCCTCCATTACCGGAACGGCGATGCGTAATGAATACCCGGCATCTTCGCGATCACTTCGTCGAGGTGTTCGTCTTCATCGGATTACGGCCGAAAACGACGAAAATTCCGTACGAGCCGGGTTTTATCGGCGCGATCAAAGGGATCGCGATACGACGTTGACACGAGACCGGGCCCCGGTGTCGTCCTTCTCCTGTCACAGCTTCACTATCTTGTTCCTTTCGGGCTACGCTCGGTCCCATTATCTTTCGTCCTGGTTGACCTGTTACCCGGGCGTAAAGTGGCCAATCCTGTCCAAGAAGCGATCTTCGATCTTCCGCGTGATGAACGTTGTGTTCTTGGCAGATCTTGAAGAGTATGTTCGAGAATTCGTTTGTTTTGTCACAGCGATTCCTATTACGCGAGGAATTTCTTGTACGAATTTCGAAGTGCCTCGAATGATCGTCAGATTGGTTGCCAATGTCTGATGAAGTTCGAGAAATAATTCCGAGATTTATCCGTTTTATTAAGTACGTCGATGTTAAGGGCGTTAAGACATTTGTCATCACATCTGCTTCTCTGTTTCATCGTCTTGATTTAACATCTCACGATGCGAAGTAGGATACGAGCTGCATTCGATTCATCTAACGCAGCGATGGCTTTAAGCATTAAGGCTGATCCACAAAAGTGGGAGAAGGAATCGTAACGCCCAACGGCCAGCACAAGCCCAAGCGACTATTCTAACGACGATGTCAAGGATAATTCTGTGAATCGCCCGAAGCGTGAAATCAGGCCGAATAAATACTTTGACTCGCGTCTAATTGAACGTTACGGCACGTATTCATAAAAGGAAGAGAATAACAACGAGCAGATGGTTACGCCATCCAGAAAGCGAGTTGTTACCGAATTACTTCGCGGAGAAATTGACAGTCGATGCCAAAGCACGGTGGTTAGAGGTCTCTGCTGACAATGTGAATCTGTAATTAGAAGCGCGCCGTCTTTTGACGGTATTCCGCCCCGTTCCACGACTTTTTCTTTTTTAATCTGTTTTTGTTCGCGTAAAATATCGTACAGCCATGTATTATCGTCTTGAATCAACAGAGAGCCGGCCATGCGACGAGTAGTGGAACTCGGTTCAGAAGCAGCAACCGAAGGGCGAGAGGAGGGAGGAGCACCGAAACCGTAGAGCCAGAGCACGAGAGAAACTTAAATACTAGGCCTGTCTTAATAACCCTGGTCCGGAGGCGCAAACTGAATGTCATTGCAGTAGATTCGATCACGTGAGTCGGCACTGACAACATAATTCTAGTGTTGTGTCAGTGACGCAGCATGGCTTCTCAAATCCGTAAAAGAAGAAATGGGTGAATTCCCAGATATTGGTACGCCATGTGGTACCACTAAATGCAACACTGTTATTGATAAAAAAATATATTGCGTTTAGGGATCGATACTACGAATGATCGTAAATATATTTTGTATAGAAAGTTTATTCGCGAATGACGTCAATATTTATATTTTTTTAAATTACGTATAATTATGATATTTAATTACATTTTGTTATTCCAATTATATATATTAGATAATTATAATGCATTTATATTTAATTGAAATAGTTCTCAACATTATTATAACTTATACTAAACTTGAACAAGATCTCAAGTTGAACCTAGGATGCCATCTAGAATATACTGAAACAACTCTTTGCGATATGATAATGTCTCAGGATTCAAGGCATAAATATATACTACATATAAACGCCATGCATCACATGTAGGTCTAAGGCGAACTCTTTGATCTGTATATTAATTCCATAATACTATACGGCTAAATATTGTTACTATATAAACATGTTCACCCGGTTGTGCATACGTGTTAGTCGAGAGTTATTAAACACTACAGGATATCGTGTGAGTTAAGATTTTATTCTTCATTGAGGTTATGTTATAAAATTATGCAACTTATAATTAAAATATTCTAATCCCAAATATATGAATATATTCAGAAAACGATAAAATGTCAATTTAGCGGTCTCATACATAATTCAATAAATAATGCTTTGAAAAAGGATTGTATATTCGACGTTCATAGACTTTCAAAAAGTAATAGAATTTATGTTATTCGGTATGAAAGCACAGTAAATACTACAGTAAAGGACACCATATCAAATACAGGTATACGAAATTTCGAAATATATATTATGAAAAATATAGTACTTCATTTATTTTAGATTTATCTATACCGCAAACACAAGAAATAGCAAAAGCAAACAGCATAGTACCAGAGAATAATCTTATAAGTGAAATACCCGGTAATATATGTTACCAGATTTAATGCTTTCATTTTTATTTTCAAATTGTTTCTCAATATATAATATGTAGGTAATTTGTTAAAATGTGCAACATTTTTACATTTTTCATAGATTTACCTGTATCAATAAGCGAAGGAATAAAAGAAATAACACAAGTTATTAAATACCATGCAAATGGTGAACCTACCTTTGAAAGCTTGGGATTAGGTGGATATGGTCCTATTGGATTAATTCAATCATTCTATGAGTTTGTTCATATTAATTGTAGCTTACCATGGTGGTTAACAATTATGTTAATTTCTATACTTTTAAAACTTGCAATGTTTCCTACTTCTGTATCTACGCAAAGAAATAATGCTAAGATGCAGCTTATTATACCACAGATAGTACAAATACAAGAGAAAATGACCGATGCAAGAAAGTGTGGAAATATGGAAGAAGGTATGGTAAATAATATAACGTATTAATGTTAATTAGTAAATTATTTTTATTCTCTAGCTGCTATATCTGCGTCTCAGCTACAACAACTGTTGAAGGGAAATAATGTCAAATTGTTTCCACTTGCTAATTTTGCAAAGGTATATTATGTTAACATGTTTGTAACATTATAAATTTGATTTTACATAATAAATTATTTCTATATACTTAACAGGTTGGTGTACATCTACCAATATTTATAGCTTTAAGGGGCATGTCAAATCAGCATATAGAAAGTCTACAACATGGTGGATTCTTGTGGCTTCCAGATTTAACTGGACCTGATCCATATTATATATTGCCATTGTGTACTAGTGTAACAATGTATTGTGTTACTGCACTTATAATGCAGCAATCAACTGCACAAAATATACCACCACTGATGTTGAAGTTATGCAAGGGAATACCAGTTATTTCATTCTTATTTTCAATGAACTTTCCAGGGGTAAGATATACTATTGTTATTAACATTGTAAGTGTAGATTTTTTAAAAATATTTTGTTTTAGACTGTTCTGTGCCATTGGGTTGTTTGTAATATTTTGACTTTGGCAGAAAATGAAATTCTAAAATTAAAAGCAGTCAAAAGGTATTTTAATATTCCAAATAAGCCACCCATCAATCTAAGCACCTCAAAGGAGATGAAAAAACCAGAAAGAGGGTTCCGCCAATCTTTTCATGAAGGTATTTTCAATATTCAAAGCTTAACAAAATTTTTGGTATATTATACTAATAACCGATTTTTTTAGCATGGGATAATATGAGAATATCCCATAAATTATCAAATTATGAAAAAGCAGATACAATGCAATTTAACGAAGCAGCTAAAGGTCCATTGAAGAAAACATTTAATTACAATCCATTGAACGACTTATCAAGAAGAGAAACAACAACGTCAATGAAAGCAATGAAAAAATAAGATTTTATGTATAATGAATTTTATACGTAGAAGTTTTTCATTTTATTGGTTATACAAAATTTAGTTTAATAAACAAAAAAATAATAAATCAATATTTATTTAACAAAACCACTCAATTATTAACATTACTATAAATAAGTAATTGCGTATATTTATATACATATAATTAGAAATATAACTATATAGCAAGATTATTTTCTGAGGTTATAATTCTGAACATTATTTTATACCAACACATTGATTAATCACTTCAAGTAAGTGGTTGTTTTCAAGGGCTGCTGCTACTCTTTCTTTATCAGCCAATTGTTTATTTATTGCTGCTTCAGACATATGTGTACCTGGAGTGATTTCCACGCTAACTTTAAATCTTGGGGGTAAAACTCTTAATAATTGTACTCGAATTGATAAGCCAATTAATGTTGCCATACTACAATGTGGTATAGTTGGAGTAAATTTTACATGAATTTTGTTTGCTTTATTATCAATCTGAAATAAAAATATGTTGATTTCTTTATTGATAAGTAAATTATAATTTACATAACGGACTTACCTCAATAAGACTTTGTTCTACTACATTCAATTCTTCCAGTGTTAAAGGATGTTCAGGGTCATTAATATTCCTAATCAAATCTGTGTAAATTACATTTTCTAAACAAGAATTATATACAATATGAAATTCAAAAAATATTAAAATAGTAATCATATATACCAAATATTTCGCGTGCATCAAATTCGTCTACAATATCTTCATCTTCATCTTCTGCAGTAATTTGTCTTTCGTCCTTTTTTTTATATAATTTAGGATTGATATTTTCTAACGTATCACTCATTTTCGTTATTAAAAAAGATAATTATACATAGTTATGCAAATCTTAAAAAATTATTTTTCTGTTTGTTTATATTTTTAAATTGAAGCAAAAGAAATAACCTAAAACTTATTTAAGTGTTCTTTCCAATTTAATAAATCTAACATTACTTTGTTCGGTTCATTATTCCCTATCTTTCGTAACTAGTATTAATATTAAAAAAAAATGCCACTACCGACATCTAACGACATCATAAAATATATCCACAAATTGTATGAATGGTCGAAATTCTTACATGCATCACATTTGTTTACAGTGTAGCACATGTATATTATCCTTTAATTACAGCTATAGTTACCAGATTCGGTGCTATGCTCTAACATTTATGCTATTGGTTGAAACTAAAGTAATAAAGAGAAAACTACCTAGATCGTTAGGGATCGCGTCGCTTAGAAATTAGACACACCATGAGATTGATATTTTGTGGTTTGGTTTTGACTATTTAGCTTCTTCTAGCTTATTCTAATGTGAGTCTTGTTTAATAATAACTTTTGTGAGAATTGAAAATTCTACTTTCAATAATAGAGTTTTATATAATTATTTATTAAAGAGCAGAATTATATAGTTAATTATGAAACTGTGTTTACCAATAAACATTTGAAAAATAGGCGGGGAAATAAGAGGCTGGTTAAGGTTGAAAGATTGAAAGTAGGTTGGGTTAGGTGTGTCAAAGTTGTATTCTCACATTACTGCCAGTTTTACCTTTAACGCGAGTTGTACAAGAGTTAGTTGTATTTTAATAAGTAAATATATTACATGTACTAAAGATATTTTATAATATTTATAAATAAATTCATGAAAAACGTATCAAATAAATTTTCAACTTTATTTATTCATATTTGATAAAAGAATAAGGTGAGATTTTATATAATATAAGGTTATATACACATTTTACAAACGTATATCTCTCTTTTATATATTTTACATATTTTAACATTTAAACAACATCAATTGCAGTTTTAAAATGGCTACATCCCTTGCCGAACAATTAAAGAAATTAAGAACGCCCCAAACAGGGATTTTGCTGCAGGATAAAAAACGTGCTAGCTTGTTATTTGATCCTAGAGAAGCTGCTAATTTAGATAGAGAAACTGTTTTAAGTATAGGTAATAATATATATTATTTTATTTATTAAACATATGTAGTTTTTATGCAAACAATTAATGTTATTTATTTTTCTAGGTCAAAATGGATTGCAAGAATTAACTAAGCTATCAAATCTATTTGCCGAATTTGAAAAAACACTTTTTGCACAGAGTTCGTTGAGTCTTGAACGTGCTGTACAAGATATTAAAGTTAACAAAAAGTTAGATGGAGAAATTGAAAAGTTTCTGATCTTTTTATCTCCTTACTTTTTACTCAATATTGCTCATAAAGCTCTTGAATGGTTAATACATAGATTTCGCATACATGAATTCAATAAAGATCAATTTTTACTTTTAATATTGCCTTATCATGAAACTCGGATCTTTGCTAGAGCATTACAGTTATTAGACTTGACAGACGAAGCTGATAAGTGGCACTGGTTAGAACCCTTACAAAAACCTGGTGTCCCCTTAGCTTCATTAACATTAATCAATCGTCTTAGTTCTGATAATGCATTGCTAAAACTAATTTGCAACCATGTAATCACTGCTACTAAAGTATATTCACAGCGATCATCTTCCTTAAGTACTTTGTATGCATTTTATACAACTTCAGTATTAGGGACTATTGATCAGTTACCTACTATTTCTGAGGTACAAATGGGTTACATGTTACCAACTATTTTAAAAGGCTTAGAAAGTACCATTTCTGATTTTGCAGCTAGTAGTTATATGATCCTGGCAAAATTAATGTTTAAAGTAAAACTGAAAAACGAAACTACAGAAAAGTTACTTTTGAAGATATTTAAGAAAACATACCTCAAAGAGGAAGCGTTGCTTCTGTTGTTCTTCTTGTATAATATACCAGTTCATCAGCTTGTTACAGTTCCAAAAAGTCTTGCTACTCGATTATCCGAGTTGTTCTGGTTTATTGAACTCGCAATCAAACTTCAGTCATCTAATGTAGATATATTAAAATTCATTGTACCATTATTGCAAACAAGCTGCCGCATGATTTTGGATAATCCATTAGAAACAGTTCGAATACAAAAAATGGTGAATGAGATATTGACGCGAATAAAATTGGACGATATCGGGGTGGACACCATCTTATGGAATGTGTTGCAAAAGGAATTTCTTTCAAGCAGTGTGACAAATGAAGCAAAGGATTTCTTAATAATGTTATACCACAATCTTGAAAGAATGTATCCTGAAAGATTTGACAATTACTTAAAAGGTTTAATGAAACACAGCGACACAGACAAGAATTCAAAATTGGCGTTGCAATTCGTCACGTCTTGGCATTTCGGAGCTAGAGACACACAGGACGTTGTTGGAATCATTGATAAATTAATTCATATTAAACCAGAACAGAGAATTATAGCATTAAATATGTTGGCAGAAACCAATGTCAATATTCCTGAAAGCTTTCAGGAAATGATGACAAATACGATACAATCCAGATTCAACGATAATGAAGTAGACGTAATCAGGGCTTTGTTGTCTATTCCTACGAAACGTTTAACAGCTCTGCTGTCTCCACATATATTAATCGATGAATTGAAAATATTGCTGTCAACTTGTCACAGCAGCAGCAAGAAGGTACTAGCGAAGCCAGCGTTAAAAATCCTATTGGACCTCTGTGAAGTCGGTGACGATACTAGCGTTTTCATTACATCTATACCCTATTTATTTCCAAATGACAATGCGGACGTAGATATTGCAATGGAAGTATTGAACTCGAACTTTGCCAGGAACAATCTTTATATGCGACACGTGCAGAAGGACTTGGGAAATTCTCCAAATGCAGAAGCGGTTTCGTCAGCATCGTTTCATAACATATTGAATTGGAAATTATTGCCCCCAACGGATAAAATATTAAGCGCTATGAAACAACAAATTGCTCATGGTGATGCAGCTTTTATGTTTTTTAATCTGATTCTGTTAGGATCCGTGTGCAGAGTACCAGTCGGATCCCTGCAACCGGAAGTAGCCAGAGAGGTGATTGAAATGGCCACGGAAATGATAAAGAAGTATCCACAAGTGAAGATGTTGCAGAATTGTAACAATATCACTGGAGACAATATACAAACCGCTATTGAATTAACGTCGCAAGGAGTTCTGCCGTTACAAGTAGGTACTTATGTACTGGAGATGGTTCATAGACGTCTTGATTTGAAGTCGAATCCGACGATCGATTTCGAGAACAATCAACATCGTAGCAATTTGATTTTGAGACTTCTTGAAATGTTTTTCGAGGGTATAGACAATAGATATTGGTGCAAGCATTATTCCCGTTGTCTGCAAATATTCTTCCAAAGACATTTCGCTACAGTGAAAGATCTTGTACGTTTTCTCTCTCAGTTATACATAAAACCAGTTAAAGTGCAAACGTGCTTTAACTGTTTGAAAATAACTCAGGTACTGCTGAATCAGTGCAAATCTATTCAATGGGCATTTCAGGATAAAGTCTTTATTACGAATTTACTGCTTTCATTGGCTAGAGACAACAACGAATGCCGGATAGCGTCATTGAAAGTTCTCGAGAAACTCATGAACGCTACTCAATTAATAGTGGATCCTTTTTCATCTCTGTTGCAACAACTCGCCATCAGAAGTCCAGAGATCTCTCTAGATCCTGATCAACTATCCCTCTCTCTTTACGTTTTACTTTCACCTGACCCAGACGTATGTGGACAATTGAAGTCAGATCTTAGAAGAAAGCTTCAACAAGTACAGCAACTGTTGTTCGACGTTGTTATGGATCTGGAAAGTCCATTGCATATCAAATCACAGCTTCTGGATATTCTGGCTTACGTCAATGGACCTACTATACTTCAGCAATTAGCACCTCTTGGATTACAACTCCTTCAGATTCTTCGAACAGAGTCGAAGAATAAATCAGCAGGTAACTTGCTGAAAAATATACTTCAGAGATTTAATAGCGCAACAGTGAAGGCTCTTAGAGTTCAGCAAGTATGGGAATTATTCGAAACCAGCATAGAAGAGCACAAGATCGTAATCACTACCGAATCTGGAGTTCAACATCCCCCGAGTGTCATTCTTTTGAAGCAGATAGAGAAAACATTCTTCGAGAGCGCTAAAGAAACGTCTGCTGATCTTCAGAAGAAGATTCTAGGTAAATTAGTAGACGTGGTCACCGACTGCGAAATAGGAAACGTTATTTCTACGGCTAATAGAACGATTAGGAAAATTCAAATGGATGCACAACTCATAGTCAACGAGCTGCAGATCATGAAGAACCTGAAGGCTGCCCAATCGAGTGATACTAAAGTTACAAGTAAAAGAAGACTAAGTCAGATCCGTTCTCTTCCAGATCCAACTATCATTAACAGAAGAGAATGGAAGCGAGGCGTGACTCTTTTGGAATTCGTTCAAAGAGCCGACAACATCGAACACGAAGAATTGCTTTATCCGATTCTGTTCGACCTGTTGAAAACCTGCCTCAGTTTCGAGGAGCAAAGTCCCATAGAGTATACGAACCAATTATTATTATCCACGATCCATCGACTAGCAGTAAAGAAGCTACCTATTCGCGACGCTCATCTCCAAGTAGACCTGATCACTCAGTGCATCAGGACCTCAAGAAATCCTCAAACCCATCACCATGCTCTGTTGGTCTTGGTAGAGTTGTTGAAGATCGTCGATGTACGGTGTGCCCTTTACACCATTATGCCTATTTTCACGTTTATGGGCAGCTCTGTGGTACGCCAAGACGATGCATACTCCATTCAAATAATTTCCAAGACGATCGAGACTGTGGTACCTATCATAAACGCGGCTGAAAATGAAACTCATGCTTGCGAAGTCTTGAGGACTTTTATCGTCTCGTTACCAGATATCCCAGAGCATAGGCGAACGCCTCTGTTTGTAAAGCTACTGCAGCTACTGGATAATTACTTTCATTTGTTTTACTTATTAAGCTTCGAGAGTCACGTTATGTCAAGAACTATGCGAATCACGAACCAGAAGACACCAGGACAAAGATTAGAGTTTGCTCTGCAGGTGTCTCAGGAGTTCTCACCTGTAAGGCTCATTCAGGTTTGCGTGAAGCTGACTCAGTTTATGAAGAAATTGCCTGTGGATATAGAAGACGAAGAAGGCCGAAAACTTGCAATGTCTTTTAAGTACAAACACATTTTTGATGTTGCCAACAATAGCCCTAAACACCTGAGACATTTTAAATACATCCTGGTCCAATTTCTCAGCAACCTGCTATCATCGCCTGACTTCATTAACAAAGTTGCAGAATTTGATCCTATCGAAGTGGATAAGGTACGGCCGTATTATGATCAGCTGATCGTTGAATTGATTATACTAATTCAGAGTACTTCGAAAAACGCTGATAAGCAACAGGGAAAGCCGATTGGAAAGTATTGGAAGGTTCTTCTACATTATTTGTACGATGTCCTAGATTTGGTAAATAATCTATTACCAAATGAAATATTTTTGGTCAGCATTAAACGCCTGATAGAACATAATTTGCTAACAGTGAAGAGAAAAGCTCTGGAGCTTTTGAACACCCGACTTCAGCAACGGAAGTTCAGCGAGGAAAATCATGAAGATTTGTTAAGTTTGATCGAACCCTTGTTAGAAATTTTATCAGTAAAAGCAAAGTCTGAAACGCAGGAACACGAGATTGTGCAACAAACTGCCCTAATTACTCTAAAGTTACTGTCAAAATTGTTAGCTAGTGAGCATCCTACCCTCTTCAAACCTGTGAGTTAATATTATTTAAAAAGAAAAAGAAGATCGAAGATCATTGCATTAGTTATTATAATTTCAAGCAAAATTTTCTTTACAGATTCTTGAGGTGACTACTGAACTCCTACGATCAAGGGAAGGACCAGTACTGGGTAGCGCTGCTCTTTGCGTAGCAGAATTATGTAGTTCTATGCGTATTCACGCAATACACTCATTGAATAAATTCGTACCAGCGATTCTGAAATTGTTGGAAGATCATTGCCACCAAGGTGTACCAGACATGATAGTTCTCAGTATAGTCAGCGCATTGCAGAAGATCGTCGAATCTGTAGGGAATTTCTTGTCTTTGTATCTGGATCACTTGCTGTTTGAACTGGCAAGATTAAACTCTTTGTACACTGATACAGAACATCCAAAGGTATGCAAAATTAATAATACGAATTATAATAATGAAAACATAATAATAATACCAAGAAAAAAGTTGTAACAGAAGTAGAAGGTAAAATGTAACTTCCATTCCAGGAAGATGATAGTCTATCACCATAAATGGATTTTATGAGCAATTATATAGCAGTTACTGTTTTTACAGATTGACATCGTGGTATCGCGACTGAAAGCAACTACTCAGAAACTCTCGTCTTGTATACCCCTGCGAGTATTACTACCAGCTGTTAACAGGACATATACAACATTACTCGCAAAACAAGCATATCAACGTATCCCAGCATTGATGTCCGTACTAGCAGAATCTTTTAGTAACGTTCAACCGAGCGATTTAAGTGCAACTATACCAGATTTGGGCACATTCTTCTTAAAAGTATTACAATTTCGTGAAGATATTTTTAACTCTGACGATGCCATGGAGATAGATGAATCCAAATTGACGATGGATGATGTGGTAATTGTAGAAGAAAGCGCGAGCAAATCATTGGTTGCTTTGGTATTGAAACTAAGCGAAGCTACGTTTAGACCATTCTATTACAAGTTTTATGATTGGGCTGCTAGAAATCCTCAGCACAAACAACGAAACATTACCTTCTACAGGTTCGTTTATAAAATAAAACAATATTTTTCTACTTGTAAAATTGTTCACCGACCAACTATTTTATTTAACATAAAACATCTGTGTAATTATAAGTTTATTTATGGTGATGTAATTAAAGGTAAAAGAGATACAAATCTCTACTAATTTACTTGATTATCTATTGTCTTGCAGACTTTCAGCCAACATAGCAGAATGTCTAAAATCTCTCTTTGTTCTCTTTGCTGGTCACTTTCTCCAGCATGCAGCTGTGTTATTAAGCAGCAATAATCCAGCGATCATGGAAGAATCACAAGAGATGACTCTAGTCGAAGAATCGAGCCAGATCGAACTGGTCGAATCCATCTTATTAACTCTTTATCGAGTTTTTAGCTACGATGCGCATAATTTTGTAAATCAAGAAAGATTCGAAATACTGGCTCAACCAATCGTGGACCAGTTAGAAAATACTATAGGCTCCACAAAGGATTATGAGAAGAGGGCGAATGAGTTAGTGGTGCCTTGCATCGCAGCCTTCGCTAGTGCCATCCCTGATGATTCGTTACACAAGCAATTAGTATATCAGACACTGCTGAAGACCAGACACACGAAGCCATACGTTAGAAGCGCCGCATTGAGTGCAGTGGTGAGCATTGGTCCAATTTTTGATAATTATAATAATCGAATAAAATTGAAAATACTATATTGTATCATAATTTTATTAAATCATCATGGCAGAAGTATCATCGAATGAATCGAGTTCATAAAACATTTGGTTGATATTTTCTTTTTGTCATAGGTTGAAATTGTTAGGAAGCTCGGCGAAGATTTTATGCCACTTTTGCCGGAAACTATACCTTTCTTAGCAGAATTATTGGAAGACGAGGACGAAGCTACAGAGAAGTGTGCGCAAAATGCAGTACGCACTCTTGAAGAGATCTTGGGTGAACCGTTGCAAAAGTATTTTTAAAATGATTTTATTAAAACTGTACACGAAATTATGATCATTTCACGAAAAGAATTTAATGAGATATACACAAAGACAAGTGTATTAAGAAAACATCCGTTTATTCTTAACTTAGTCACATTTGGACGAAATATAGAATATATTATTTCCTTACATTATAATACATTATCGTAAGTGTACGTGTGTATGTGTTTGTATGCGTGTATGTGTGGATAGAAGATCGTGGCAGCACTAACAAAGGAAGGTAGACAACTCAGGAATTAAAAAGATCATGGAACTTTACATATATTTTGTGTATGTCCTCCACAACATGATATTATTTCTTTTGTACCGAACGTATAAGGGAGTGAAATGAACTCCTAAATTTTACACGTTTTTAGATTTTTTACCGTAACTTTGCAATGATTTGAGATATAGCACAACTTTGAACGTACCAGTTTTTCAACTGTTTAGCTCATGAACAATTTATATTTCATACAAAACAATATTTTTTTTCAACAAAATTTATTGCATATTTGGATGTGTATATATACATAGGAATATACATGTAAAATTTAGGAATCCAGTTAGGAAATATATATTACTTACAATTAAATTATTATTTTATTAGATTATCATATACAAATCATAAAATTGAATGAATTAATGACTTTTAATTGTATCCAGTTTACATGCTTTATGCACGTGTGCAGAAAACATCATACTCAAATGGCAAGAGTACAAATGAGCAATATGTATTTGCTGCTCACTTATCAGTACAATAGCGGAATGATGCGGTACATTGACCGATGTAAGTTCTCTTTGTTTTTTAATTGTTTACGAATATGTGAATGCTGATTAATGAACTTTGTTCGGCTTTTGTGCTCGTACTTTTTTCGGCAGATATAAATATTCTCGAGAGTGTAGCTTATTCACAGTTCCGAATTGCAATAGTATTATCACCGAGTTGAAGAAAATTGCAGAAGTGTGTTAACTTTTTCATTAAAGTGCATTCAATTAATATTGCTAACGTAATAAACACCTTAGAGATTTTATTTGAAAATCATTAATTCATTCAACCGCATAACCTGTGCAAAATAATTTAATAAAATATCAATATAAGAGATACAGTAATGAAAAAATTGTTATATTTCGTTAGACCGCTTAAAACGAGACATTTTTGTCTACATTAATCCTTTTTAACTCTTACCATTAAGAATTTATCTGGAAAATAGTAAAAAATTTATTTATTTAAATAAATTGCACGCCGATGAAAATGTCTTTACAATAGTGCGATAGAACGCGAAGTATTTAATAAATTTGTACATTCCAAATTTTGCTGTATCACGCAGCACAGAAATGTCATAGTAAAAAATCGGGAAAACGCGGAAAATTTAGAGGTTAATTTCACTTCCTCGAAATCTCACTTGGCATAAAGGAAAAGAGAAGAACATTGTGTTACGGAGGACATACACATCATATATGCAAAGTCTCATAATTTCTTGAATTTTTCAGCTGCCTACCTTCTCTTGCAAGCAGACGCCTGGTTTCTTAAATATTGACCACGGTTCTTATTAGGAGCGGCGACGAGCGCATTTATAGTCTTTTCTTTGAGTGCGTCTCCGAATTTCGAACGCGTGGAGAAACATTTTACAATTATGCTTCTCCATCGGAGAACGTGTGACCATCGAAATCGAATATACCGAACACGATTTTCGAGCATCCCTCGACGGACTCGACAACGAATTCTTCGTGAATGTTCAGAACAGAGAAAAGAAATGGCAGTTGAGGCCCCTTGACGATTCCCTTTTCAGAGATACATTTTTATTTGGAGATCATCCTCGTAGAAAAAATGCAACGTAGGCCCTTCCGCTGATGCTTTTTGGCTGGCACCGTGAACTTAACCGTCGATCTTCTTGCCAATCACACCTGTGGTACTTCAGCCGCGTTCCTTAGGGACATTTCCTCACCGTGCTCCGCAGATGGAACTTTCCTACAAAGAAATTATAAATTTTACTTTTCCAAATTCCAAGGATATTTACTACATACTTGAAAAGCGACTAATTCAAAAAGATTCTAACCATACTAACAACGCCTCAAAGTACCATAATCTAAACTGCATCGACTATTCATTCCAATTCTGAAAAGCTCTTAAACTCATTAGCAAGAAATTCTACATCGCATACATAATAGAAAGCATACATCAAATTTACCAAATCACGAAATCGCAATAAACAATCGTACAGCTCGCGAAGCGATGAAAATCAAAGGGAAAGGAACTTTGGAGTCTATAATTGGCGTGATTGCACAACTATTTCATGACCTTTACCCACCTCTTCCTATAATGAAAGATAATGTACACGATGATGGCGTTGCCGACGAACAGCAGGGCAATTAGGACGCTTGGCAAAACGATGTCTGTAAGGTTGAAAAAGTAGAGATACGATTAGTGCTGTGTGGTATCGTGTAGTGTACGGATTTTCGTTTTCCGTTTCTGCGATTCGCCATTCCGCGGATCACGCCTCTGAGAACGTGTGGCACAGTGAACTTTGTACGCAAGTTGACTAATCGGTCGAAGTTTGCCGTTCGCGCGCACACCAACGTTTCCTTGCTCTGATTGCCACTTAATCGACCACGGTTTGATCGCACTTAGCGGGAAAATCTCGTTTACGCGTAGTCGCTGTGTCATTGTTCAGTTACTCGTACCGAAGATCTGTGGCCAAGCTGTTCGAAGTTGATCTTAATCACGATTACAGTGCATTTATACGCCTATATAACGTATTTTACCTTTTCTCTTGTCTTCAAAATTACGGAAATTAGGTTTTTTCAATACTCGACTATAGCTTGGCTCATGAAATCCGTTTCAAGGATCAGTAACCAAAGCTTATTTAAAATTCCTTATTCCAAGCAGCCGATTCAGATACACGTTTTACCTGAACCGTGTAAACACGTTTTTTCCCCACTGGTGAGAAAGTAAGAAGAAAACAACTTTTTATTCATAGACTGACTTTGATGAATTCTCAAGATACGAGAAACTTGATCCATGATTGTTGCGACAAAATCAGAATTTAGAATTAAATCGCGTGTCGTCATACTTGGAGCTTAACACAGTTTTGTTGATCACGATTATATGAGAATTCCAATGGATACTAATTCGATACCTATGTTTCCTGTTCTTCAGTCGTAACATTGTAGATCAACATTCGGTGTGAAATCGATAATTATCGATCAACGAACAAAGATGTTGGCTATTGATTAAAACTCGGATAGACTATTCTATGAGCTTAGGAAGAAGCTTTTACAATCGTGATATTTTAAACATTTCTATGTCACGATTGCATATTCATTTCTCCCATCACACCTAATCGACGAATAAAAAATTTCCAAGTTACAAGCCAAACCAATTTCACCCTCGACGAATCATTCATAAACCAACACAGCTTCCCTGTTCAACTTCCAATAATTTTTACTCTCTCAGATAAGACTAAGAAATTTTTGCAATGGTGCTGAACCACCAGCTCGTCTTGAAGCATAGGACGTTAATTTCAAGAACAGAAGACCAACACGGTTACACTATCCCTGGTAAATATTTGATAATAACGAGAATTTAACCACAATACTCGACATTGGAAAACAATCTATAACATTTACATTTTGCAGCAAACTTTATTACGCAAAATGGAGTCGGAAGATTGACAAAGATACCACTTATCACGTACAGCTATACACAGGAGTCCGAGAAGAATCGAAAATTATTATCCGACAATGAATCAAAAGTTCAATTGGCAGAGATAAGGACATAAAAATACTCGCCTAAGTGACGATAAGAAAAGAGAAGATCAACGAAGTTCGCGTGTTCGGGTCTACGACGAAACTATACGTGTTATTATACAGGTTACGTAATACTTGCACACGAACGTCGGTCACAGTGATTACGTAACAATTACGCCGGCTACAGTTGTTCTTGGAAATTTCGATAACATCGGCCAGGAATCGCCGGTTGCACGTGATATCTTATCGGGGAAAAGCGAATCGTGACCCCTGCTGCTATTTCGCTATTCTCCACCGCCCGCGATTCCCTCGGCGAATCAATCGAGTCACGCTGTCACAGTGCGCACGTGTTCACACGATAGCGTATAGGTGTCGATAACGACGGCAGGGAAAAATCTTCGTTCATGAACACTGAATATTCGCCGGGGGATAAATTCGATACGCGTGTCGACTTCGAACAGCTTCTGGTCTTAACACTTTGGCCACATTTCTTCGTGAAACTTCGATAGCACGACTCTGGTCGATTCCAACGAAGTTCGCTGTTGCTGGTTAATTTCAGGAACGATCTGACGGGATGACAGAGTTTAATCGATCGAGAAATTCCACGGGTTGAATAGAATTTGTAGGAGCTTGGTTCACTGACCTACGACGTAGTCTGTTTGCTTCATCATGGCTGATTGCGCCGAATCCATAATGTTCCCGTTGCCAACCGCGACTGCGTCCTCGCCCCGTCCGATTCTAACCCCCGTGCCGGCAGTGTTGTCTCCGGAAAGGCTGGACAACCGATTGTGGTCCTGCTCTGCCTTCAGGATCAGCGCCGACGTGGCTGTGGAAGTACGAAACAGAAGAAATCAGTCGATTGGTCGGTTTCGAATAACCATGCTGCGACTAGCTGAAGTGAACCTAAGTTTCATGACCTGAAATGGCTTCACGTAGCTCTAGGTAAATTTCTATGGATACCGAGTAAGGAAAAAAGATGGCGTTTAAACGGATTGCAAAAACTATTTCCCTTTTTTTAGATATTAGAAGAATATTAATTTTCAAATATTAATTTTTAAATATTACAAGATATACGTGAGAATAGTAAATATGTTAACTCTTTGCACTCGACGACTTTCTGTCATAGAGTGGACGATATTTTTAAAATGGCAAATGAGAAATCATATGCAAATTAAGACGTAGAATTATTTTTCTTCGACATTTCACACATCGTTAGGTAATTCCAAATTTTATATATTAATTAACGTCGATTTTTAGAGTCCGATTAAATGACGACTGAGAGTCACCTCTCGAGTGCAAAGGGTTAATATTTACAAAATGGCGAAAAATAATAGAAAACTTTTCACATATTCTACATTTGTCTAATTAAAATTGGAGCCTCTGTAAGGTTAAATTTTAATTGTCTTGTGTAAAATAATTGTCAATTTATTATTCGTTACTAAATATTAGCATATTGTATTATTTATTATATTGACTTATTGAAATCTTATAAGTCGCTATCAAATTGTTTATCCTCTCTTGAGCCGACAATGTCAGTGTCAAAGAATTGTTTGAACTTTATTCTCTTATCAGCTTTAAGAGGTTAAGCTCTCTTCAAAGCATACATCATCCGGTACGCTATATCAGCTAACTTCTTTGCGATTTGCAACATCCAGGCGAGTGAAATAAATTCGCGAACGTTTCGATTGAATATCGTAGATACGGATTTCGAAGACCTTGCAAATTTCCAGATTAAGCAAATGTAGCATGAAAAAGAACCGATACGAAATTATCGCGGAGATGTTGACGCGAGTGTGGAAAAATGATCGATAAAGTAACCGATAACGAGGTAACTTGGAGCACCGGGATGACACAAGCTTTTAGAACTTCCTTGGCACTTGCAGTTACGTTACTCGTTATACTCGGTGAAACAATATATTTCGGAAACTTTCTTAATCATCGGCCCTCCATTCGAAAATTACCATGCATTTTTCCATGCACGCAAAACTCCATCCAAACTTTTTCGTTGCATACGATATACAGGTTACCAAAAATTAAAACGCGCAAACTTTCCAACAGGAACCTACGAAACTCTCGTATGCTGGTGACGGGATAATGAAATACCCAGTTGCACCGACCTTATACCGGGTGAAAAATTAATACCAAACCTACCACTACTGTCGGATGACCGGCGAATGAAGACGAGGTAAAACTCTGGGAAAATGAAATAACGAGAAGAAAATTAATTAGTTATACAGGAAGAGAAATGCTGAAGACGAATGACTCGGTCGATAACATAGGAATCTTTAATGAAGATCCAAAGGCAACGGTTATATAGGTTATAATAAGTTTACTATTAACATCAGAAAAGTGAATCCTTCTACCCTATCACCACCAAAAGAATAATAAAACTGTAATAGATGTAAAACCATACCCCAGTTCCAAAAAATAATAATAAATTTAAAATCGGAAGCCAAAAATGTTGCAATTTCCTCGGAACTGCACGAAAGGGTGCCGGAGAATATAACCTCAAAAAATCACGGTTTCTCCGAAATATTTGCAACAGAGGAAAAGGACAAAGAGAAACACGATGCATATTCAGTCTGAAGAAAAAAGGAGAAAAAAGAAGGCGAAAGAGAAAAAGCCAGCAGCATTTTCAATGTTTCTACATCTATTTCGCGAGCGGTAATAACAGAGGAATACGGCGTTCCTCGTTCGCGGCGGTGCAATTACGCGGGAATAAATTCTTTTTCTCTTCAGGGGCGTACACTTTACGACGGCGATTCGTTGGAAGCTCGGCCGCGGAAGACAAACGGCCACAACGCGCTAGAAAGCGGCTTCCGTTTTTAGAGGCGGAGAGAGCCGCGCCCTGAAGAACGCTCCCCTGATAATATCGGAGCCACGTTAGAATGGCCGAGGCCTATAAAACGCGTTTACGATCAGCTCGATTGGCGTTTCGTTCGATGGGAACATTAGAAACACTATGTTTTCGGCGACGAAATATTAACTTCAGTCGACATGGATGAGTTTTATGAGATTTATACTTCTGCGAGCTAGCTGAATCTCGTGGAACAAGAATTGCACGCTGCACCATATGTCAAGGTAACGTCGATCATGGAGGAAAATTCGAGACCTGAAAAGAATGCGAATTTGAAGAGGACACCTGGTATCTAATGCTATCGAGTGATCGCTTCGATTAATCAGTAACAGAGATGTTATCCTTCAGTGTATTGCGCGTTCGAGGAAAGAAGGCACAGCGTGTTTACATCTTCGCGACTGATTAACTTCACCGATTCGCCCTTGATCAAAGAAGACGGTGACTCATGATCTTCGTCACCATTTTCGGCCAATAGTAGTTACTGCTTGTGATGATTGAAGTGTCAGTGGAGTTAATCAGCCGTGAGGATGTAAACACGCTGTGCCTTCTTCTCCCGAACGCACTATACTTTGAGCGAAATTGGAGACTTTCTGATGAAGTTAGTCACCGATTTTTATAGTCTTCAAACAGGAGTGATAGAGCAACTAATGATAGTTAAAGTGGCAATAATAGTTAATTAACATATGAAGACGAATAACTGTATTCCTATTTGAATAAATATCAATAACTTTGCCGGAAGCAAGCAGATATGTATAAAAGTAAAATTTATAGAGTAAATCAATCTAATGCCTTCTTCATTAATAATTTATTAGCTTCTGAGATATTCGCAAAAAAATATTATCAATAACGAACTATTATGCAGATCGACTCGGTCAAATGATTTAATATGAGCGAGAGTAGATGAATTACAAGATGAAGCGGAACAAAAAAGAATGTTATTAAATTGTTAATTAGATGAACCTATATTATAAGAAAAGCCACAAGGTCAAGAATCAAAGAGAATGATATTCAATACAGAATTTTAAATCGAATATTCCCAAAATGGCCACTTGATCGTGACGAACTTGTCATTAACACTTGCTTCTTATATTTCTTATTTGAAGTCCCATGACTGAAATTCATACTAAGTCAGCTTCGAAAATTCACCCTCTACCAGCGACACTTAGTCCCGATGCCACATCGCCCTATTTAAATACTTTATTTCCCAAAAACACACGTCTCAGAAAATATTCACAGTCACCTTTGAACCAGCCAAAATACCACGTGTATCACCGAGCTTTCTCGCGAATCGTTTGCGGAATCGTATCACTCGCGAGACACTGGCAAGTCGCGAAATGGACGAAGAATGGAGAATTAATCGAATGGTACCCGCGGAGAAATGGCCGCTCCGCCAAACGGCTCCGCACGCAATACTTTCTCCGTCTCTGGCTGGTCGCGTTGCTGCACAGCTGAATTCAGAGCTCGCTTTAAATACGTCCTCACGGTTTGCATAGAAATGCGAATCCTTATCGAGCAGCAACGGAAATGCCAATTTACGAGCCTCTCGTGCGTCTACGATAAGCGGCCAACGCGCTGCCCTGGAGTAACCACCTATCCAAAGAGACCGGCCAATATTTCGAGACGAACTCGCACCGATTACGAGCAGCCAATGGAATAGTTGATAATTTCACGCTTTGCCGCGAAGGTCGAGGCTGAGAGATACAAGTCGTGGAAAAATACGAGCGTTCGTGAAGAGTAGGGTAGAAGAATTATAAAATGGGGGAGGCAAGCTTCGATGAAAATTTTCGAGATAGATCAAATAAAATTTTCGCTCGTTTCTTAGAAATAGATATTTGTTTTCTTTCTTTCTTTTCTTCTCACTTCTTTTCGAATACATGGTCTTTAATTATTTTCGGAGAACAAAATGGCCATTTCCAGCTATTTCCAGCGGTTATGAAAATAAATTATTCTTTCGATAGAATGACGCGTTTTGACTGGTTTTCTTTCTTTTATTTGTCACAGGGAATATATATGAAGCGTGTCGATGTTGTTCAGAGGAATTCGGTTTATTGAACTGTTACGCGATCGGGAATTCGTTCAAGTTCCGCGACGTCTAATGATTTAATGACCCGGGGAAATAATACGATGTGAAGTACGGCTTCGAGTACACATCGGGTGTGCAAAGTCCAATCCGATGACTCAATGTATGATTATATGTTTGGGTAAAAAAGAAAAAGAAAAAAGGAGAAGGAAAAAAAAAGCAGTAATAGAAGTGGGATAAATAATTTTATAAAATTTTCTTAAAAGTTTGAGCAATTCATTAACATTTCCAAGAACTTTTCCAAGAACCATTTCCTATACTTGTCTTTTCCATTCTGTATCTGTTTCAGGCGAGATTAAATCTTTACGTATTCAAATTGATATTTCGTAATTATGAATATTTTTACTGGTAAATGTCACTGTTCTCGTTAGGATCGAGGGGGAAAGAAGGGAACTACTAAACGATGGTAATTCAAAGCTTCGATATCGCATTTAACTCGGACGATATCACGATGATTCTTAATTAAAAGATACGAATGCGTCCTTATCCCGGCTAATTTGTCGATGGTCGAACTTCGATCGAATATCGATTGACCCAATTGCAATGATCTTTTTCCACCGCCCGGTATCGATCGCGCTATTTCCGTCGTATTTATCTGCATTTAATTAAAACATTGCAACTTCCTATGTTAATTTAACACGATCCAACGATACGGTATTATGCTGGCCGAGATAGAAAGCGATGCCTGAGAATTAGTCGCTTATACGTATCAACGATTAGCGGATTATGCGTTATCGTACAGCTGAAACGAATTTGACATATCGTTGACGAGAGACGAGAATTGGCATGTTTTATTTTTCAAACGTGAAAAATTTGGAGACAGAAAACATTAAGGTTTCTTGGATATCTGTAGGTGTCTGTATATTAAATGACACCTCATCAATATTTAGTTCTAATATTTTCTATTTCTAATATTTCTAATATTTCTAATATTTTCTATAACCACGTCTCTGTCATTGTCTTTTTACGTATTCATAAATTCCTCTAGCTTGTTCTTTCGGTACCACCGACCAGTAATTATCCTGTCCATTTGAATATAATGCATAGGTAATAATAACGATTAAAATTTTACATAATGGACGCAGAAAAATATTGCAAGAATTAAAATATTGCAGAAAGGACCTGTAAAACAAGTAATTTTGCATCCCTTGGTAGTTTCAATGTTAACTCATATTTTCCTCCATCTTTATTCTTTCTTTCCCTCCGATATCAATTAAGCCTTTCAGTATCAGATATTTACAACAATATCGCGTTATCTCCATCGATTTCGAAAATTTCTCTACCGCAGTTTGTCGAAGGCTGCCCGAGTTCGTTTGTCAATAATCCATCGATCACAGCCGAGTATATACACGACCGATATCTATATCGGGGATCGAGGACGGAATCGGATGGTGATCCAATCAAGTTTATATCTTTTCACCGTGTCACAATGTCACGTTCCATCGGAATCCGATGGTTGATGCGCGGATGAAAAAAAGGAGCGATCCCGATTGCGTGAGAATCGAACGATCCGTTATCGTTGTTCAATGTGGAAGATTTCGATGAGCCACGTTTATCTGTTGCGGGTCATCGGTTCTTCGTTCCTGAGTAATCGCTTTATTTTTCCGATTCACGACGGAACCACGCGTCGTTCACGTTCCCGTTTCTCTGACAAGGGGGCAGCAGCATCGTTTGACACGGAATCGCGGAAAATGGAACCAACATCGCGAGGGTACCGACGTTCAACGACCGAATGTCTTCACTGTTCTGGAACGGGAGAACTCGACGTGACAAACGTGTTTTGGTCACTTTGCCATCTGCAATTACGTCCAGGAGAGACGATGATGAATGCCGGCTGTGAATGAGATCTATGGTACGAAGATTGATGGCCTAATGGCGTATGAAAGGCGAATAAAATAAGAACGGTGGAGAGTTTTGATTTAGCACCAATGAATAATGTCAGGTGGATTTAGGTGTAAGTGTCATTTATACAACTAATCGCTGTGATTACCTACAAAATTATTCGATTACGAAATACAAATGGCTTTCCTGACATTGGTATCAATGCATATTTTCATTTTCAAGATATTGTTATTCAAAATGCCAGATATAAAAACTTCTTATTAGCATTCGGTTGATTGCATAAATTTTTCCGGAGATGTAAGATCGATTTCCATTAGCTTTTCCTGATAGATATGTAAATCGTACGTCTCGCGGGATAATTGGCGAATAAAACTGCAATTCTCGAGATCGCGATATGTACCGCACAATCACAGAACAATTGGAAAGCAAATCGGCTTGGCTGATAGGGGAGAGACATGGAAGAACCTTCGAAGTGTACCTGTCCAATTAGCAGACGTAGTTCGGGAGAATGGAAGCTGATTCTTGTCACTGGATGCAGATCGGAACTTTCGACACGTCCGATTAAAGCGATTCAGAGATACTCCGACTCGAGTTCGGTGGTTTTCAGCAGTCGACCAGGTTCCTCGAGGCACTCGAACCGACTGAAACGGGTGCGTTTCAAGTACAGCAACGAGGGGTCTCTTCAATGATCGTTCAATCAACCACAATTGTCGCTAATCCTCTAACTTAGTTAATCCTTGAGAGCAGCCACCGGCCGAGATACCACTTACAGGGCCGAACGTCTCCTCGAGTGTGACGCAGAATCGTTCCAGGAAGCAGTGAGAGTTTGTGACGATTCCCACTATGGAAAGCCTTTGAAGATCGATAAAATCTAAGGTTACATCGAACTGAATAAACAGAGAAACGTGAAAGACCACACGGAGCAAATGATCGTGGAAGGAGTATCACACTCGGATATAAACACTTAGAATTCGATAGAATTTAACAGAATTTCAGTAAACTATTTCCAGCTACAACAATCGAGTCTCGCAGAAACAGAAACACACTCGCGAAACTTTGTCGTGACGGACACAAAGAGTTTATAATGTGAAAAGGAAACGCTCTGGTTCCGCGTTTGTACGACATTTGTCCCTCCTCGAGGCGAGCAATGGGAGTTCCTGAAACCTAGTTCCCTGCCTTAAAAGTTCCCTTTTCCGTGCATGAAACTGCAGCAAAGACCTTGCTAAAATAGTTAAGAAAATGGGAAGTAAATTCGTAAAATTATACCAGACAACGAGAGGATGACACGAAATCAACATGGACGAGATCTGTAAGAGCAAGTGGAAAGCGATAACGATTGACATTGGAATCCCCGTAGGAATCCCAACCATGACTCGAGACGCCTGCACCCAGAGACTCTCCCAACCCAGTTTCGTACTTTCTAGTTCTCGGGAAAAATTAATTGTTCGCGATTCTCTCGCCGGTTGCACGAACGCCTCTGTCCGCCATTTTGGCGCCTCACGGCCCAACTTCCTGCGATCCCCGGCGTACACAGGCGTGCACCGTCTAATTAATCAATTTCACTTTCACGGTGGAGAAACCATCCATCAAATGGTCCCGCCTGTATTATCTGTATTTGTGTACAGATAAAGGAAACCATGATCACAACACGAGGATTACGAACAATAAATAGATAACAATATTCGAGTTGCACCTTCGAATAAAAGATAACGTCATCGCGTCACGTGTTCGCGTCACAGGCGATCTAAAATTAATACCCTATCTTGGTCGGCATTAAAATTGTACTCTACCGGCGTATTTCTGCCTCTTGCCAGCCAAAATTCCACCCTTCTAGTCAGCCCCTCGGGAAGAATAGTCGAATCGATCGCGAAACGAGTGACGCAGAACGCGAAGAATCGTGCTCTGGTTGAACGCAATAGTCGAACGTTGGTTCAGGAGCTCGGGAATAGACGGATTTATGATCAGTGACAGCTCGTTGCATCATGCTCGTTTGAGGGATGTCTAATTTTAGAGCTCGGACAAAGGCCATCATTGAAAGCTGCACGCAGGATACCACAGGTTGCAGAAGAACGGGGAATCTAGAGCGAGTGTCGTGCATGAGTTTCGATACGTTGCATCAGTCACGTATGCCACATGCTATGGCAGAGAATAGGAGAAGACTGCATCTGGCCAGGAGGAAAACGAAAAGAGGATCGATCACGTGCACAAGAGGCTGATGGAAATCGTCGATAAAGAAGTCGGGCAACAATGTCGAGGGAAAAGCTTGTGTTCTTATGTCCATACGAACGAAGACGGACGAACTGGTGAACCTAGGGACCCGAATGAGGTTCGAAATGTGGGGGGGCCATGGGGATAATCGCGATCGAGTTGGCCATTCGCGATACATGGCGAAATCGTGTAACACCGGAACGGATTTTTCTGTCGAGTTGGCCAAATTATCGAACATGGCCGAAGCAACTCTTCTGCATCATGTGCAACGTCGGCTGAAAATGACTCCAGCGGAAGGAACGTCGAAAATGAACGACGCGATGAAAAATGTTATTCGCCTTAACGATTGGAAGAAATTTGACGTTTTCTTCCCTGCTTTCCTGCATGAGATGCCAGTGAGTGGAAACTGATAACGTCGAATTAACCAGTTTTTTCTCCTTTGATAAGTTTCACGTACGAGCACGTGCATAAGAGTGACGTAACGAACGTTATGATTGTCTGTGATGCAAGCGTGTTTTGACCGGATACAAACCACAATGAACACGCCTGCGTGATTCTGCATGACCATGCCGATGGCGGATCTTGCATATGGTATAAATAATTTGATTAATATGACCCCCGTATGGGCTCCTCTAATGTGCCAGCATGTCAACTTCGAAACTGGTGTCCGAAGGTTTAATAAAGAGAGAAATGATGCAATACTCCCGCTTTTATTGCTTGAGAAAGATTGACTTTCTGCGTTCACTCGGGTTTTCCAACTACTCTGCCTATTCCGGGTGACTTTTTAATATCCATATTATTAAATTGGAAACCTGACACTCGACACGATGTACCTGAATAACTTACTTCCTTCTGTCTCATAAAGAAGAAAATTATCTCAAGTAGATTCAACGTCATATTACCATTACAATAGAATGATCCTTTTATTATCAGTGGACGAAAGATAGAAATAACCTAATTGTCAAATTAACATGGATAAGGAATTTCAAGATTTTCAGCCGGCAAAATTGCAAATAAAATGTACAGACTGATCGTTAATATTTGCTACCATTAATGATTATCGTTCTCCAATTAATCGCTCCAATTAATGCAACGATAAAAGCCGACAATGACGTAACTTTGAACAAATGAGACGCAGTTAGAATGAGGATTAGCGCAGTATCTCCGGGACACTCACTTATCAGATTCCTGAAGGTGTCCGTGAATATTCGTATCATGGTGAAGAATCGGTAAGAAGCTCCTCGCCGGTCCTCCCTTACACTGAATTTCTGTGTGGCCGCGCGCTGTCAGCTGCTATTCGCCACCATAACGCGTTCCTGCACGACACTTCGGTTAAACGGACAGCTCCTGCTGGCTCCTCCAACTGTACTACTATAGCATCAGTGGGTCCGCGTTCAAACCACTCTGGCGTGGAGTCTCTCCCTAAAGCCTCTCCTCTCTCCTGTCTCTGTCTTCTTTCGCGGTCTCTCTCCTCCTTTCTTTCCCAGTTTTTGCGTCTTCGCTGTATCGTCTATCACTATCTAATCATAATAGACGACTCGGAATTCGAACAGATCACGGTCTATCTTCCGCCGAATTATTCCTCATTTATTTCCCAATTACTTCCAAATTAATCTCTCTGCTATAGAATCGCGAATTTCCCGTGGTATTTGTCCGAAAAATTCGCTCGCTGTTTCCGATCGATCGCGTCATTAAGTGGACCGAACAAGAAGGAAATTTGCAGCCAAGTAACGAGCCGAGTCGATACAGAAGATCGATTCCTTCGAAGTAGTCAGTCACTCAGGATGCGAAGTCTCACTCCGTTCGCGCCTTGAATAGTAAAACTCGAAACCTAACCCCAAACCGAGTTAAATAATCTGTGATGCCCCACCACCAAACAAGGAGTACAGAAGATGCGATATTTCTTCATCGATCTTTTTCACGAAGTTAGTTTTTAATTACGGACGAACACGTCACCAGTTGCTATACTTGTCTAAATAACGCGATTTTCAACGATTCTATGATTTCGAACGAACCCTTTGCCATAGAGGATTTTCCGGAAATTCGAAGACAACGCGAATGACGTCACACTGGTGAAGATAGATAAGCAGTCGGTAGAAGGCGCACGGAGCAGAAGGGACAAACTGAGCGAGATCGCCGCTATTCCATCGGTTTTATCATCGGCGAGAAGCGCGTGGCGTGACGGGACGACGCCTCCATTCGTTCACGACCACGATGCTCTTTGACCCCGTGCCGAGTGTCCAGTAGAAAAATCGGATACGTTCGTAAAAGAACAGACCAAAAAGAGTGCGTTTTCTTATCGCTTATTGCTGTCTTCACGACCGGTGCATCTCTCTTTGTATCGTGCCCCCTCTACCGAGCTATACCTCCCACCATTTTGAAGTAGTTTCACACGCGCGAAATACGCGATTGATATTCTGGTGACTTTTAAATTCCATAAGTCGATCGACCAATCGGAACGTTCCATTTACTGCCGTGATCAAATTTCGAACAACGTGACTATATTTGATACTATTGCAATATATTCGCGAAGGAAAGAAAATTGATTTAAAAATTTTGCATAGTACTATGCATTCATAATTTTACCAATCAAAGGAAATATCGATTATAAATTATTCGAAAATGTGTCACGAGGTACCAATGAATTATTCAAGTATGTCCGTCCGAATATCGGATTAACAAAAAAGTCATAAAGCAATCGTGCGGGGCGTCAAGAACGATAAACACGACCCTGAGTTAACGACGCCACATGGACTATCCTTATCCCCTCTTTTCTGAAACATTCGACGTTCTTTGTATACACGAGAACCACTTCGAGATTCGACTCTTTCCTATCGACGAAATCTGAACGAATTTCCTTTAAAATGCGTACTGTGTTTCGTGAAAGTTTCGTTAAGTGCTAACAAAACCAATCTTTTATAACAATTCACCGCGAATAAGAATTTACCGTGGTGCCAAAATGAGGTTATGAAACGAATTTTGATCCAATCGCGAAAACAACATCTGTGTCTAATTCCCGTTGTCAAGTTTATTTTTTTTCGAGATGATAATTTTCGCGAGATATCCGTGGGACATGTGTTCGCAACGGTTAAAGTCGACCTTGTTGCGCGACAAATACGTTGCGTCAATCGGCGTCGTGCTCGTCTGCTGAGGGAATTCGAAGGAAGAGAAAGACCGTGGCACAAAGAGAAAGAGAGAGACAGGCATGCGAGGCAAAAAGGAGAGGTGAGTCGTGCACAACCGCACGTTTCCTTTGGTTCCGTTGCACGGACCTCTCTCTGTTGTGTATAATACGCGTCTTTTTACGTTGCCCACTGTGCAGCCTGTTTCTTTTTCCTCGCAACCTCGTAACGTATATATAGCGTACAATCTGCACGAGCAAAAGGCATTCTCTGGCGCCGTAAGAAAATTTGCAATACCTGCTTAACGTGTGTGTGTTCGTGTGTAGCTTTTCGGTTGATCGTCTGATTAAAGTTGTCCTGCTTTACTGTTTTCCCTCCAAGTTTCTCTCGGTCACGTGCTCTTCCGCAAACCCAATTTAGTTCGAATTCCGTCCGTCGCGACTCTGGCTCGGACTTCCGAGGATTAATTTGTACCAAACAAAGGATATCCAGTGGTTTTCCAGAGACTGAAAGCATGGAACGTGATTATGGCGTCCTCAAAAGTAAACGCGTTCTCTAACTGCACGCCTTTCTCCTATTCAAACTATTTTCGTACCACGCGTCAAAATTCAAGGCCTGATTTTCAATCGAACTTTGCCCAGGCTTAATTTACTCTCGGCAGACTCTTTGGCTCCGCTAGGCGATCATTCTCAAAAATACGCCCTTAAAAATACTTTTCCTCGAAACATACAACTACATAGATCCAAGCACACCGATATTATTCGCTCTTTCGATCGAGATCCGATTTGTCTTTAATTAGACATGCCTCGTTGACTCATTACTCTCGTGAAAACTTGCCTTTAGTTGCCGAATTTCTTTCCTTTTTATCTGTACTATATGTAGGGTGTCTAATTTCGATATTAATTTCGATATCCGTAAATATTTTTCATCGATTCGTGAACGAATCTATTTAGAATTTAGTCGATTCCCTGTTTCAGTGGTCCGATACCAGCCCAGGGGACTGCTCCAGTGTCAATCGACTTTCCCTGTAGCCGGTTTCTTTTCGTTTCTCTTCCAGTAACGAAACCAGAGCGTCAAAAGAGCGGGTAGGACCAGAAGCGGATCAAATTCGTCCTGTCCACGATAGTTTTCTCGGCCGCGTCAGGCTGTCCAACTCCATCGAAGTAAAGTCAACCGAGACTAGTTGAGTAGAGCGTACGGACTGCGACCGAGTCTCTGAACGGTTCTTTTTCTTTCCTTCGCTTGACCTGCACCCGAATATGCTCTTTCACCGATAACAAGGAGAACAAAAATCACGTCCTTCCTCGTTTTTTCTACAGTGCATTAAGCTTCCAAGGTGAATTCTTCCTTTCTGGTTCGCTCGTGCGAGGTATTCGATATATCGAATAGAAAAAAACCGTAGCCAGGCTTCGAGCGAAGCTATCAACCGAAGTGATACACACCGCGGACCTCTGGACCAACTTGTTTTATTCCATCGACTTCTCTTCGAGTCGTGAGAAACTATCCGTCGTCCAGAAACGGGACGGGCAGGATTCCAGGCTGGTCTCCCTTGGAATCGGGCGTCCAGAGCGTCTGTTTCTCTTCTCCTCACGATATCGCGCGTGCGTCGTTGAGCGTAATCGCGAGGCGTGCGTACGTAAACGTGAAAGACGGTGACACGAGCTCTCCATTGATAAAAAGCAAGAGGCGATAAGACGGCAACAGTCGCGTGGTCCCACTATCAGAAACTCCGACGACGACTGGACACGAACCTTCCCTACCTCGAACACCACCGACCAACGCTCGGGAAACCTCTTCGTGGTGTGGGCAGAGCGATAGAGATGGAAAGAGTAGTGGCATTGGTGGGGGAATAAACAGGGGCAACCGTCACCCCCACCAGAATATTCCTTTCCGACCACCTCCCACGCGAATTCTGTTCGGGATGAAAACAAGCTGTCCTCTTTCGATTCGATCAACCGTTCTCTCGCAACTATTGCATAGTGTTTCTTCCATACTGCTTTTTTTCTTTTATTTTTCATCAATTGCGTGACCTGGCATTTCTTTCACCTTTCACTAGCATCTGCCGTTTGGTAATTCATTTTCGATTATTGATTTTACAGTGCTTTTGTATTCCAGGGTTTATTATCTCTGCTGAATATTTTCACGATTTTCGTTTTGAATTATTATAATCAGTTTTGAATTGTTTTTTAAATATCTCACATATGCATATTGCGTATTATAGAATTCGTATGACCGATGACTGAATCGTGCCAGAACGAATACATTTGAAAGTATAAGTTATTTCTAATTCTCCTAATTCGATTTCGCGATTTAAATAAGCGATAACTTTTAACCAAGCTGTTAACAATTTATCTATAGAGAGTTAGCAAGTTTTCGGTCTCTCGTTTTCAAAGTTCAAGTCGGTCCCAGCTGCTCAGAGAACATGTGCAACTGCAATGTTGTTTTATTTTGTCGACTCTAAAATTATCTTCGCGCGGAAGGAGGCAACGGTGGTGGGGGGGCAATAGGGGCGATCATCCCCTCCACTTTCATCGCTATCTTCTCCTACTCCTTGTTCTTTCCCACCACCAGGACGAATACGGACTTTGCTTCTCCACTCTCACGTTTCTCGTTCGTGCAACCGCATTACTAGCCGAAACTGCATATCCTTTGAATTATGCATTTGTTTGAAATATATGCAGATGTAATGCAAGAGAACGTGTGCTCGTACAGCTGTTTGGTGGAAAATTTCGAAAGTTTGTTCCCTCAATGGTACGGATCTGGACGTTGGAAAATTGGGACGCGGTTTGCGCGGGAATATTCCGATAATTTGAATACATTTTTAGAATATCGTTCCAATACTTGATTATTTCCTAAATGAAAAATCAATATTCGTACTCTTTTGCCTATTTCCAATTTTATACATATATATTTCCCGAATTCGTTGGCGAATTGGGAACAGAACGTTTTCATCAACGACTGACCCAGAGAGACAAACCTATAGACAATGTGCTCTTTGTCTTCCAAATAAGAGAGGGTTGCCCAATTCGAGGCTTTTAGCTTCGAATTTCACCGAGAGTACTGGATATTTCAGTTTCCAATCTAGCGACTTGCCTCGAGCAAGATTCGAATAATAATATACACTAAACCAAACTACTTGCTTATTATCTTCTCATTCCTCTTTCCCCATCTTCGGAATATCTTATTAATGGCCTTCCTCGACTACGTTCAGCTTTTCAACGAAAAAAGGAAACGGAAAAAAAAAAGAAAAAAAGAAATCGATGCTACTTGGAACAATCTTCTGCTCTGAAATTCAATCACCGTCACGATATACAAGCATCTCGGCCTCGTTCTATTGCTTTTAAATTCCAAGTTCCTCCGGTAAGAAAGGCAATAATCTCGGAGGCATTTTCTTGCGGCCGGTGAAAGCCTCCGCGAAAACTTCTCGATATTCTCGCGCTGGAAAATCCTTCCGGGCCGACGGAGTTATTATCACGGTGAATGGAGGGACGCACAAAGAACACCGGACAGACACATTCTTCCAGATCCCCTTTGTTCGAGAGGCGTGAAAAGCCGCGGAGGATTCGGGCAATTTTTTTTCCCTCGCCGCGCGAAACTTTTCATTCGGCTGGCAGCTGTTCGTTCCGTGCTGCTTTTAATGCCTTCGTTCAACGGTCGAATTAGCGGTGCTGTATCGTCAGCGGAATCGGTCGATTTTCGGGAGGAAACCACCTGGCCGATAACGCGTGCGCCATTCAGGCGATTACGAAAAGTTTCGAAGAGAAGGCAAATATCGAGATACGCTTACGCAACTGTCGCTATTGGCGATAAAGCTAGAACAAGCTGCATTTCGTCACCCGTCCGCCTAACAGGAATATTATTCCTGAATAATTAGTAGATAATTAGATTCCTCGCGAATCTAGAAGACTGTGTCCCAGACCATGGAACGACTATCCAGAAAACCAAGGAAATTTCGATTATTCGACGCAATTTCATCGGGTAGGTAAGTCGATGTTGAAATTTATTGCATATCTCAGCAGGGAGCTAAAGTCGAGAAGATTTTGCAGATTAAGTAGACGTCTCGTCAGCACGACTGTGCCAGGGTAATTAATAATCCGCTGAACGTGTCGCGTTTTAAGGAGCCGATGATCAGCCGACAGCGCGAAGAAAGAGCCCGGGTGCCGTTAAGTAATTCAGAATTCCGCTCGATTACCGAGCTTCCAGAAGATCACTTTGACCCGGCGTGGCATGATGGTTACCGTTGATTCAGTCGAGCACGCGAAATCGCGTATTCGCGGTGAACCGCAAGCAACGAAAATGAAGAAGCGAAGACGAGGAGACGCGGATTTATCGCGTGTCATATCGTGGACGTTGATGTATCGTCTTCAGACGCTGCTCCGCAAACTCGTGCTTTCCAGGAACGGTTAAACAATTGGCCGCGAGATGCACGAAACCGGCGATAACAGAGGATAACAGACGCACGTTCCATTGATTTTACTGAAATAAATTACCTGATGAAGCTCGAGCGACGTGAAGGTGGTTGGTGCGTTATTCTCTCGTTCCTCGTGGTTGTTTCGTGATGCGATCGATGTCACTGATCAACCGGCCAACGATGCGTTCAACGAGATAAAATTCGGCGGAGAAGCAGGATCGTCTCGCGGGTTCATCGATACGAAATGTTGATTTTCGAATGATTTTTTCGCGCAGACACGTGGCGTCGAGACGGCTGGCGTCGTTACGTGCGCGACGCTGCCGATGTATGGTGCCTATACGAATACTTCTCCGCCCCAAGATTCTTTCCCTCCGTCTTTTTCCTTCTTCCTGCCCCGCCCCTCGCGCTCCGTCAACCCCTCTTCCTGTATCCCTCCCGTTCGCCGCGATATCCCCCACTACGGGGTTTCCCCTTTCGAACGCAATGGGCAGCCATGAGTTCCCGGGAGACTCGTGAGGAACGTAGCGACCGACTGGAGCGCCTCGACCACCGTAAATTGTCCATGTTTTCTTTACGAACATGGAGATATCGATAGAGGCGCAGATACCGGCTTATTGTTTTATCGATAATAGATACTGATGGGCCGGAGAGAATCGGAGGTCTCTCGCAGGGCAAGGTTTAAGTTGGAATTATGCCTCGTGAATTTTGTAACGCGGAGGTTGTATTACCGATTTCATCCTTTGCCTTGTTTCCTCTTTCATTATTTTCTAACGATCAATCGTGTATATACAACAAATTAGATTTAACGTGGACGAAATTTGCGAATAATTTTCTCCTTAAGGATATTTTTAGTGGGTCGTGTTTCCAGTAGATTATTTAATCCTTGTAAACTGCCTAGGATAGCAATACCTGTGCGATATAGGATCTGTGTATGAAATTTACAAGACGTGTCATGTTAATCTTTTGTGTCAATGATACGTTGCATGTAGGACGTAAGAGAAGATTCGTTGATAAAAAAGGAATCACGGTTACCTGTACAACTCGGTATGCCGATGACATTCTCACTCCACTTCCCGTGCTTGCACTCGAGTATCCTTGTCCTTTCTTTGCTGTCGGGGAACACGGTGCCTAATTTGCATAGAAAAGTCCTCGAAGTCAGAGTGTCATTCAATATGTAACTTCCGTTGGGCGCTGAGACGTTCGGACACCCTAGCACTGGAACATTAATACCATGTTATGGAATCGCTGGTCATTTACATATGAACAGTTCCTATTCATCGCGTCAAATTATGATCACTTGGCACGTCAAAATCGCGACAACTACTTGTCTTGTCATTTCAATCACGTACGTATACTTGATCATTCAACATTTTTCCTTGGCAGGACTTGGCCAGTGGAATATAAACGCGAAAATTACGCTTATCGCGAAGATAATTTTGCAACAATGACTGACAAGCACTGACGCAAGATTGCACGGTGGAAGGAAATACAATAATGGATAAATACAAGTACCAATAACACTGATCATTGTATCGTAACGGTAATCGCGAATAGGGATCAGTGAAGCAAGACGCGGAAACGTCAGGACACGTGTCAAGCAGGTTTCTGCCTTGAAAATAGATTCGTCAATGTTATTTCTGGATGAAAGGGTTTCATTGCGCAGTTGTGAATGTTTGCTCGTGTCGGGTTTCATTCATCTCGGAGAGCTTCGATTTCACAAAAAAGGCAGGAACGCATTGCCGTCGTCCTCCCGGGACTAGACCGACCTTGATATTGCAAGAAGAATCCCCGTGCCGTGTACAGGCTCTTCGTGGCTACAAGGTCGAGGGTGATCACGTTCGAGTTCGAGACGACCTTCACTCCAGCCACGGTACCGCAATACTCGAACAACGTTCTTCCTTTTTCTCTCACTCTCACGATGTCCACGCAACTTCCGTCTGCTTCTGGGTCTACAACATGGAATATTTCATTGCTTATTTTGCTCAATTGCACACAAAATTCAATATTCGATTCTTAATTCTCCTATCTGTATTCCACTTGCACCATTTATCAATCCTGATCATTGATATATATATATTTCTTTGTTAATAAAGCAACTGTACGTTTTTGGTGACCGCAACGAGAAAAAGAACCACCTATTCTGAGCTAGTCTGCTAGTCCTAGTCCCGAGGGATTAAATTTGAAAGAAACATACGAGTTCCCGAAGCATACGAGGACTTCGCGTTCCCGAGTAACATTTAAATATTAACCCTAACCCGAAGCTCGATTATTATCTTCGAAAAGCACACCATGATGGCTCGTGATTTCTTAATCGATTCCATGCAAGATCCACACGGGTTAATCCCACAGTAGGGAGGGTTAGCGACAGGGGCAAGTGGAACCCCCGGATCGATACTCACCCCGGATATTCAGGTCGTGGAACGTGAGGACGATCCTGTGCCCAGGAGCCGACCTGAAGGTCCAGCCGCACGTATTCTGTCCGAGGTAGTAATGCGGGTATCCGGGTGAATTTATGAAGCCACCCTCGCCTGGGACCACCTTCAGTTCCTCGTTGCAATATTTCCTCACGGCAGCCTCTGAAACAACCCCCGAAAAATGTATAAATCGAAGCTCGAGCATCGAAACAGGAGAGGAAGCAAAACGGAGCAACCGTAATGTCAACGCACGACCATAAATATTCCTACTTTACGTGTCGGATGCCTCTCTTCGGGGTGGAGAGGGGGTGGAGAGGAAATTAAATTTCTTCCCTGACGTGCAAGCGTGGAGAAAAAACACATATAAATTATTCCTGCGAGCCCGAGGAAACTCTATTTTCGCCGGTTCGACTCGCCCGAATTAAATTGCCACCCCCGAGCAACGAGCCCCCAGGGGTACTGTTCTTCGCGGAGACAGGAAAGAACGACACTTTTGTCGGCATAAGGGCCCGGATCAACATCTGCATCCGTTTCGGTCCATTTGCCGATTTCGAGTGTGACTCTGGCCACCATTATGCGACGTTTGGCCTGACCGAGGGTGTCCTTGCCCCACTTTCCAACGGAGGGGTGAACCGACCGGAGAATACCTGCACCTGGAGGGGGCTGAAACCGGTTGTAGGGCGTCGAAGGGGTGGTTTGGCCCTTCCCACCTATTTCTCCGCGGAAAGGTGTTCGTTGTTCCCCGATTTCGTTCTTCACCGGCTCTTATTCCTTCGCGGGGGTAGCTGGGGGGTAGTTTTATGCAACTGCCATCGAATCGCGCGAGGAAAGATCGATGGCTTCACGATGGCTGAATTTCTTCCACGGACTATCCTGAATTGTGATATTATAAATCACGTGGGTTTATTAGCGATGGCTTACATCGCCTAGAAGTACTTGTTTATTAAAATTCATTTACGATGTAGTAGCAGCACGTTGCGAAATTCTCGTTGGCTAATGCAGGCACGCATCTTTTTGCGACAAAGGCATTAAGTATGCTCGTCTTTCGGGATTACTTCGTAAGACGTTGCACGAGGATTTTTATTCTAATGCAGAATTCTTTTGCTCGTGCAGAGGAGAACACGACTATCGTGCATGAAATTATTAGCAGATTGATCGTGGAACGATCGTCATAAAGTTGGAAAGGTAGGCCGATTGAAGAGGCTCTCGAGGACTGTAATTTGCGAGGGAGAGAAGGATGTTTCGCATTCAATGTTCCGCGTCTTTTACGATTCTAGGACGCGCTTGGTTGCATAGAAACAAGGGATTAGCGTGTCCCTCACGAATTTCTGCCTTTTGTCGCGTGTGACATGCCGTTTATTACGGAACACGTTGCCGTTTTCCCAAAGGACTGTCGGCTATTGTGCAACTATCAGGCGAAGCTCCTAATCCTTCAAAATCGAAGGCCGCAATTGCTTTGTACCACGTTTCCTCTACTAATCCTTGCAGCAGTTTGGAAAATTACGGGAAATGGTACTTTACGCGTCTCCAATGGAAGAGAAAGTGTCCTCGTCCACCATTCGAGAATTTTAACAATTTAAAAACCCCAATCTTTACTTCAATCCTCGAATCCAAGATTTTCTTGATTTGAACAAAAAGATAGAGATTTGGAAAAGAAATTTTGATCGTAGTTCACACGTCAGAAATGATTTTGGGAGATATAAATCCGCGAACATGTGCGTGACATGTCACGCGCACTTGCTTTGATCTACGTGAGTCGGTACTTCTTTTCTTTCGGATTATCTAGATTGAACGTTACCGATGCAACGCGACTGGAAATCGATCATGTACGTTGGAGGAGGAAGGAAGTAACGTGCACGTGAACAATGGAAATGGAAAGACAAGTGCTTCCTGTTCGCATGCGTTACATAGAATACATAGTTATATAGAAAATTATACAAGCTCGTAAACTAAAATTTCTACGTTAAAAGCTAGGCCTCTGTTAATCCAAGTTTGAGAAATGCTTACCGGGAATACACCCGTATTTTAGCCGCAAAGTGGCCGGATTCCAATAAACGGCACCTGGCTGGTCGGTGGTAAAGTTGTAACGGCAATGCTTCAGTCCAGCGCATCTAAAGTATGCAAACTATTATTAAAATTATTTTCACATCATAATTACATACAACGTTTTCCAATTTGTACATTAAAAGTTTTCAAATTTAGAAATTTAAAAATTGAAGAATTCCCAATGCTTCATATTCGATATTGACTAATGCAGATCGTCTATAACGATAATTCGCACGCATAGGCGAAACATAGTTACAGTTGTTTATAAATTCACAGGGAAGAGCAGAAGAAATTCATCAAATCCTATCTCGGATCGGTGCATGAAGCGATCTCGTAGTTTCAAACACGCACGCCAATAAATTTGCGTATCGCAAACGGCGCAACGCAGATTGTATCGATTTCTCGGTGCAGCGTCGTCAATTAAATAAGCGAGCCCGGTCATTAGGGGTTGTGTACCGGGTGTCGAAAGCGCGAGCAGCCAGCGACCGGTCAAAGGAGAAATCGCGATTGTTTAGAGATCGAGATGATTGTTGCGCAGGGATCGAAAGTAGCCTCGCTACGCGGAACAATGGCCATGGTCGATTTTCACCCTTTTCGCCGTGGGGTGACTACCCTCCCTCTTTCCCCTCGTCGATTTTTATCGCTTCGTTCCCCTTGCCGGAAATAAAAGGGAAATAACGTTTCATGTGCCACCCACGCGAGGAATCCCTTTGAATTTTTCGACGCAGCTAACCTTTCGGCTCGCGAGCCTTTCATCCACACGTTTCCGACATCGAAATGAGTTTCAAACGTGTTCAATCGAAATGGATGACCTCTGATTTTCAACCAAAATGCTACGGAGAGTGACACATTTTTATGGATACTTGCAAAAGCAGCAGGAAAATTTTGAAAAGCATTTTCGAGAATTCTCTGACAGCTCCTAATTGCAGTTCAACGATGCTGAGGTACTTCAAACGATTAATCAAACTAGCAGAGTCTTCGGTAAATAAGTCAAGTGTGTACTTTCATCGATATTTAACCGAAACTACCTTACTTGAACTAGCTACATATTAACGATCAGGATTTTGAACGATTTACTGGTTCTAATATTTCCTACAGCCTTGAAAGAATGTTCTCCGCTACCCTAATTTCCCTGGCTAATGCTTCCACATAGCCGATCGAAATGACAATTCCGCAACAAAGGAAACAATGACAAAATCAGTCGCTCCGTGTCAAGACGCTGGAAACTCGATGGCAAAGTGGGAGATAGGGTAGTTCGCTCCCTCCTGTTCGCGACTGCAACCCCTTATTTACAAAGTTCATCGAGCTGTGCTCCTCACGCGCGATGCACTCTCCTGGAAGCGATTTCTCCTTCGACGGGCATCGAACGTCGCTCAAAAGGCAATTAAAACTTCACGTACGCTTTGCTGACGCACATCAAACGGCAATTTTGCGTGTCGAGATTTCGTTTCCACCCTCGAAGACACGCGGTGTGGGACACACGAGCTCGAAGAACGAAACCTCGAGGAGAGAGAGAGAGAGAGAAAGAGAGGAGAGGGGCGATTTCTTGCGAAAGAGGAACGGAAACCTGTCTAATTCCACGGTGCCACGTTTACTTTCGGCGGCTCTATTCACGCGATTGTCCTCGCCACCCCTGCACCTTCCTGCGAACGGCCACATTTGTTGCGGACAATAGCGTGAGTGTAATGTTAGGCTACGGTGACGTAGAGCCTCGTATTATAGTACGATAGTCGCAGGAAATATCAAATTTTAAACGCGGAATGCGAAACGTGGAATACGAAATTTGGAATACAGTATATCTTCCTTTACCGTTCAATTTTCATATCGATCTACAGCGGAATTGAAGGTATACTAGGAGAAAAATGTTTCTTTCACTTTGTATTTGCACGAGAACGTAGTAGGAATGGTTTTCTAGATCTGTGGTCTACGCAGTGGTAACCCAACCCAAACCGAATATTCTTTGCTCTCTCTTTCTCTTGCGGATGTCCAGTGGGTGACTCGTATTACCACAGACGGTTATATTGTGTCGAAGTGCAACGAAAAGCGAAAGCAGTGCCTTGTCACGAACCCGCAGAACATCGAAAAATATAGTCTCAAGCCTATGCTGATCGATTTTAAGACCGAGAAATCGGTGGCTCACTTTTTCCCCACTTTCACCCTGTTACATCGTATCCGGCAAGCAGCACGTACCTCCTGTTCAACGATTGCCTAACATCCACCACCCCGAATCGAAGCTCGTCATCAGCATCGTCGATGTAATTTCCCTTCAGTTCCTTTCTCTTATACGACGAACTGCTACCTCGACGTTTGTACATCATCTTCATCGTCAGCCTCTGCGGGTCGTAGGCGCAGATGCGTGTCAAATTCGCCTGGTATTCCGCTTTCAGGACGAAGATGGAGGCCTTGAGGGATCTGCAGGTCAACCGAACAGAGCCGTGCGAGCAATGGTCTTCCTGGATCACTTCCATATAGCCACCCGGTAGCTTGACACCCTTCAGAATCTTGGCGAATGGCGACTGAGTGCTCGCGAGGACATTCTTCGTTAGGGAACACCTCGCAACAGCCATTAGCAACAACAAAAGACTCGTCAGGGTCGTTGCTCCTGGCGCCATGGTCGTTGATCATCACAGAGGTCGAAGGAGTCCTCCTCTCGAGATGATCTTAAAATTAGCCTCCTCGAGACAGCGAAGGAGTCAAGTGCGTCGATAAGGTGGACCAATTTCCCTCTGTTTCTTGTTTCTGCCTCTGATATGGCCAGCCAGCGGCTCTTTTGCTCCTCGAAACCGAGCTCGGACACTCGAGGACCACTTTATGCAACGGGTCGACGATCCTTCTTTCTGGTCCCTTCCTTTCGAACCTGTGAGAAACGTAGAACAGATCGTAAGGAGTGTGGGAAGAAACTTTGGGGTTGGAAAGTGGACTGAATTCCCTTCGAGCTTTATAGAGTGTTATATCAATGTGATAGGCTAATAAACAGCAAGAACGACCCTGTTGCAACGCCAGAGTTCTCATTCAACGTCGCAAATTGCACGAACCTCTGTTAATACTCTGCAGTCTGTTCGAAACCGTTCCGGAAAGTTTTTGAAAGCGTACGTCAATAGTAAAAAGCAGCGTGCGCCGTAACTTAAACTAATTAACCTACTTACGAGTGCTACTCATACAAACATCTCCATCTTGTGTGTCGTATAAAAGACAGTCTCACGAATACCTTGCTAATCGCTTTCGAACGCTTTCCAGGAACTGTACGTATCGACGTGTTCCATACTCGGATTCTATCTAGAAAAATAAAATAGCTATGTAAGTCAAACTCACTAGGTACGTCGTCAGGTTCGTGGTTTCGGTCCCTGCTCATTCGAGGAGATAAATTTCCGAAGGATTCTTGCAAAAATACGACCAGCGAGTTGGATAAGCCTGGGAAGACTGAAGAGGTACGATTATTTGCCGATGAAAATCGTGGCTCTCTTTATTTTCGGCCCCCGTGCTCGACGCCTCCTGGTATCCTCAGGTTTGTTGCCACAGCCGAGAGACCCCGGTGCGCGATTAATCGGCCACGGCCAAGTTCCAGGCTTCTAGACGACGCTGGATGCTCACTGGCCAAGGACACGGATTAGAATAGTATCGGGAGCACGCGTTCGATTCTCCGAGACGGGTTCTTACACGTTTTGTCTGGCATTGATCAATATCTAATAACGTGCTTCATGCGTCTTATTCTAAGATTATCTTCCTTTTCTCTTCTTCCGAGCTTAAGTTAAAGCCTATTGGCTTTGGAATAGGAAACTGTTCTGTCGAGTCAGGACGTAAAAATTCTAGAGGCAGCACTTTGTCAAAGAATAAGCTGTTTGTGTAATTTGGTAAAGCAACGAGTATCGACGACTTTGTTGACTGGAAGTCGTTGCATATTTACATTGTTGGTCAATTTCGCAACGAATGGCGCTGTTTCCGTTTTATTTCAGGAATGAGGCACACCGATGAATTTAAAATGGCTCGCGTCTGGAAGAACGAACGATCCTCGACTATTTTTGTATTAGTACTCGTCGATTCCTCTTCAAGATGGTATTCCCTGACTCTTCGCCGAAGTGGTTTGTAAACTTTCAGAAGGTTCTTTGGCAAATTCTTGAACTTTAGGTCTTGGTGAATAATCAGTCTCTCAGAAGCAGGTTTTAACGAACGAAATCTTACTTGCGATACGTATCCAAATCCTTTGGTACTTCCTTTACAAAAATAAGTTTCGTCGATGGATGTTTCAATTCATTTTCTTCTAAGAATATATACATAAATAAGCTACCTCTATGCTTTCGATAAATTATTCTCAAAAATATAATATCCAATTCCTCAGCGACTTCTTTCCCTCCTTTCTACACTGTTATCGCGAATTATCTTTGCCAATCGATTTCTACAGAATCACAACCAGCTCACAAACGTCGATCGTTTAAAAGAAATTTACATTCGACTCGTTCCTTATCGAACAATTCTCCAAAGGCACAGGTCGATCGATCAATGGCATAGATCACGCTCTCTAATCAGCCGCTGTCGACCAACATTCGCTGCTGCTTTTTCGCGACCACGAGCAATCTTTCCATCTTAAGCGAACACATTCTGCGTTCACCTGCCCCTGACGCTTTTCCTTTTGATTTTGACCAGCCACATCGCAAACGATCTACGACATTAAAGCTTCCACTCCATCTCGATCATTTCTTTGACATTCGAGTTCCTTCGAGGTGCATAAATCTTCGCCACGGTCCCCAGCCTCGTGGTCTTTGGAAAATAAAACTTTCCGAAGCTGTCGGCACGCCTTGCCGCGATAAATCAGCGCGAAAAGCAGCCGGGGCCATTCATCAAAATCCCAACGCGCTCTTTCGCTATCTCCGCCTCGCAGTCCGCATGTTACCTCTGCACTGGACGATCGGGAGAGGAAGAAACTCCGGAAAACCTTGCTACGTGTCCTCTTGAAATTCGCGGCAGATAAAGGAGCGGCCACCACTTGGTCCACGCACACTCTCCACTCGGTTGGTTTTTCCGCGCGAAGATCGAGCTCACCGATTCATCCTGTCGAAATGAAAAACCACGATGAAGAGGGCGTGAAAAATTCGGGTATATTACAGAGCAATTCGAACCTCCGCTTATCCCATTTCTCGTCATCTTTCGCGAACGGGAAGAACGAGAAAAGAAAGAGGATGCTTAACTCCACGCATGAATCACCCACGATCACTGAGAGCAAGAAGAGAATGGAAGGAGGAGAAAGTTGACGGTGTTGGTTCGTACCGTGGTCGTGGATGTCCTTGTGCTTCTACGATGTATCTATCTGGCGATCGAGCAAACGCGTTTGCCGCCCTTCGCACGCGACGACGATCGAGGGAAGAAGCGGGAGGACCGCGTGTAACCGAATGAAAGGAACGCACTGTTTGGCGTCGTGCCCGACACTGAAGAAACACGCACCGAGGTGACCCGCTCCTGTCGAGCATTCGTCGCCGTGTGCCACGAAGCAGCGTGTGCTTGTCAGCCCGTTCTCTAACATTGACAGCCTAAACTGCGAATCCTATGAGCCACTGGCGTCCACGCTACCCCCGGAAGCCAGCGTCCCCCGCCAGCGTGCCACTCAAAGCTGTTAGTGCGTGCTGCCGGGTTGAAAATGATCGTTTAAAGTGAAGAGGATTTATTAAAAATTCTGAATATCTCACTTCAGAGGTTTTATGAAGAATAGAACTGCTTAATACAAGTACCTTTTCAGATAGGGATGTTTTGTGTAGGACATATGATAATTATAGTATTGGGGTGAATTGGAATATTTTATATGGTAAATGGATATTAAATACTTGGATGATAACGTATTATCTGAAATTTATACAAGGAAGTGTAAGTAGATGTATTCTGTTGATAGCTTGTTGAAAATTTTAGTTACAATACTCGGTTGTCAATATAATAATAATTAGAGTAACGATGGATAATAGTGACAATATGTACAATGCACACTTACCGAACGAGCAATTAAAATTCGAGATTAATAATGCAAACTGCGAATCCTACGAACCGCCTGCTCGCTGCTGCAACCCCTGGAACCCTATTCTTCGATTGCCCAGGGATCTCCAACTTTCAGAGTCCGATATGCGCAGTTTTGACGAATATTCCTACCTCTTGTTCATCTTGTCCCTCGAAGAAAGCATGCACCATGGCGAAGAAAGTAAAGCTACTACTTTATCCTCGGCAAGCCTGCTCCATCTTAATTGCCTGATTAAGGTAACGCGAATTAATTTCAAAGTTCTACGCGTACATCGAGTGGTTGGAGATCCCTGATCTGGGGGTCCACCCCGCAACAGCACGTGCTCGTTTTTCGGCTGCACGAGGGCTCTTTGGCGGGGGCACGCTCCCGCATCGGGGTGGTTTTCCCTTCTCTGGATCCTCCCCTTTAATCTCCGGCTTGCTCTGTTCCATGGAAGATCGGTTTGTGATTTCGACAGCTGCTCCTTTCGAATCGCGACGCGACAGTTTCTTTCGTTCCGATTCCTTGTATCGACTGAGGGGGAAAAAGTCGAATGGACTGTCGAAGAATTCCTTTGTTTTCTTTTTCAGAGAGGGTCTGGGTCGTGTTGGATTACTTCTTCTTTCCAAGGATGAAATTGCTGGATTTGTGTTGCACTGGAGAATGCAAATTGAATTTTCAATGGCGCATTATAGATCCTGGTGATATTTTATATCACGGTTGGGGAGATATGGTAAAATTTAAATCTTGGTATCTACGTCTCTGTACTTCGTTTCCATCATTTGCATAAATTTTCCTCCGATCAAGTTAGATCTGAAAATTATTTTTCCAATATTAAAATTATTTAATATCGAATGGTTATTTAGTTGCATGTAATTTGGAAATTATGTTGTACTATAATGGCCCTTCCTTGTTCCACGACACCAGAATGGTCACCCTGTGCTTTGAGCAGGATCTATTCAACGTTAGGCTGGTAACAATGTGTCGAGCTTATCCCGAAATCACAATTTCCACATTTTCCTCGTTCCAATTCCCACATTTAATCCCTCGTTTCTGTTCTTGAACCATTCAATAGATCGATCTGCGATCCAGCTGTCGCCATTGTCCTTCGATACCGCTTTTCCATAGTGTCCACGTGGAAACGTCTGTCATAAAATTCTTGGTATCCATCGACTGTCGTATCAGATTAATGTTCATGACGATTCGATTCCAATCTCGACTCTGTGCCATTAAAATTTTAACAATTCATTCAACGATTATATTTTCAGTTCCAGAAATTCTTCATGTGGAAGTAAAATTGATTTGAAGTAATTAACAGCGGTTTTCCTTATTTAATTACTATATGAATATTGACACTCTGCAGTTAGGTGAAAGCTTGCATTCCAAAAATCCAGTATATATAGAGAATACGTATAGAGGAAGCTGGGGTGAAAGTACAAAAATATTTCTCAACAAAACAAACTTTAGATTCGGTACCAGGAAAGTCTAACAAGCGTTGAAATACCACAGATAGTAAAAGTAAACTATCGATACTCGTATCCCCTCAGCTTGTTTAACTTACACCTCTTTTGTTTAGATGAAATATATAACATCCTATCACGATCTTGTCCACGACTTACCATTCTTATTTACATACACAGATGTATAATTCTATTTTGTAAAACAACGTTAAACTGAAACCACGACAAATTCAATTCTTGCCCCCCATTGATCAAATTCAAGTGACCACCCTTTTAATTCCCACTCGTTCTTCAACGACCATTCCCTTTGAGAAACATCCGTTATCTGGACATCACCCAGACAAACCTCTCCGACTGTCTTACCTCACAGGTAACGTGCAGGGTCTCCTTGCTCCCATTGTCGAAGAAGAGGTCTCCAGAAGTGTCGAGGAGCGTCTCTTCTGCACGCAATTGGTCCATTGTCCATGGCACGTGCGTTTTCGCAGTGTGCATCTGCGCGGTCCCAGGAAGCTTCTTTTCCACGGATGTACACCGGTTGTCATCGATCCCCCTCTTCGTCGTTCGTAAATCAAGCAGGCGGAGACTCTAGACGTCTAAGGGAACCAGGAAGCGAGTACACCAAGCATCTGCTGCTACGTGAAGACGATCGTTGTTAGACGCGAGAAGAATGCGTTGAACTCGAGGCGATTGCCTCGTAAGCTGTGATTTATTTGTTGAAAGTTTAAGGTGAAGAATGCTGAGACTTGTTTAGGTAGGTTAAATGGCCGTGTAAGAGCAGATAACGTGGACGTGCATCGGGTAGTAAATGAAAACCTGGAAACAGGAGAAAAACAGGATTTGTTTGATTAGAAGTTTCTTTCATGGTATTTTAGCTTAATTAAATATTTAAAGTTTTAATAGATACCCGATGGCTTGAAGCTTTCAGTGATACCAGAAGATAGTATTTTTTAATCCTTTGATCTCTTTAGGTTCCGCTCCACGTTGCATTTCTTTTTTAATGTTATTACACGCTGAGGCTCGATTTCTGCTCACGGTTTCCAACGATCATCGCGTAACATTAACGCGGCGAATTAGACCCACGGTCTCCTGGGCAATTCCCTAGTGAAACGAAAAAAATCGCATCCGGTCTGCCGTGCAGTCACGTGCAACCCTGCGGTCTTTTCCACCCTGAGCCGCCCTTCGAATGGGGCACGAAACCCTTAGGGCACGCGCTGTTAGAATTATAGCGACATGTGCGACTAGTCACGGCTCGTTTGATACGCAAATTCTGAAGAAGTTTAGTAAAATTGGATCTTTAATTCACCTATTTTATACCCTCATTCTTTTTAACACGACGCACGATATAGCAATCGAAGCGAAACATCCTGTATCCTAGCCATAATGAAGGGGAATCGAGCTTTGAAATAACAGTTGCTGCTTATTCATACGATAAACGAATTCTAATAAAACCTTGAGGAATATTCGTGCATGCTTCTAATGGTGGCAAAATACAAAACGAAATGTCCTATTGGATGACGTTAATTAATTTTTTGCACTGGCTGATGAGGGGAGATAGGAATTACCATAGATAATGAGCCATGCCTCGAGATTGCTAGGTAAAAATATACAAGAAGAATTTGCATGCCTGATCAACTTATTCAAATTTGGTCTGATTTAATCCGATTCGAGGATCCTCGAGTTTTAAACCTATTTAATTTTCCTACCTCATCAAATGCCTCCCCAATATGTCCATAATTCTATGACAGTGTACCTATGCTCGTTACGAGATGCATAAACGTGGAAGAACATTCTGAATACGGCAAAGTATGTCGACGTCTTTAGACAACTTGTATACTCCTGTGAAGAGCGCCAAAATACTCGAAGAGAGGGTAATTTCGAATAAAATGAAAGAAATGGACGTGGAAGTAGATTCCTCGAGGATACCTCAGATCTAAAAGTATCTTTCAACATTGATCCATTGGTCTTGGTGGAATCCACCCTGCCAGATAAAAATATCCTTTATGATCCATCGTATAATCCTACGTACTCGACCGATTTAATGGACGTTTATGAGGAACAACAACCCTCTTCAAAAAAAGAATTGTTCACCTTGAGGTTTATTCCAATTCCTCTTCATTGGAATGCTTCTTTCACCTTTCCAACTACCGCCAGTGACGTCTATATTAATTCTCTCGTTAATATTTTTAAATAAAAATCAGAGTGCTTAAAATATGGATGATATTAAAATAAATATACGTGTGATCTATCTATTTTACTTTTCTTATGTTCTCTTTTGCATAGGATTAATCCTTTCAATAGTATAAAATAAGATGAAAGTTAGAATATTTAAGACATTAATTTGTTTTAAGTATAACACATTCCATGTAATCACATACCTATATATATTTATATATCTAATATTAGTAATTTTTCTTCCCCACCAAATTATAGATATTCCCTTGTTTTCTTAATATCGCTGATTTTGGTAGCACTGTGAATCTAATAAACTAGATTCCATAACAAAGAGTGTCAATTTCGATAACTGAAAATGATAAAAAAATTAGTTTGGTAAAAGACGCGTCGATATCGTTTCAGGATTCCTACTCCCCAGCACAACAACTACCAGTCTCAATGAACATAGACTCGTTAAGCAATAACCGAGCAATAACTGAACATCCGCACGAATAATTCCCCCATATATCATTCACAATTGACAACGAACACCTATCCACTGCTATCGAAAACGGCACAACAACCGCCACCCACCACGGCCATCGATCCATCCATCATCCATCTGCGTAACTCACCAGTTCCAGGTAAACAGTGTGTTTTCGCGAAGCATCTCATGCCGCAACGCGGTCGAGCGATTTAACAGAGCTTTACGACACAGCTTAGACAGCAACCCCCTTTGGTGATTCCTAATGAGATTATACATTACGCCTAACCCTCAAACACGATACTGTGTTACGTAAGCCACCCACGCGATCGACCGGCTCATACACCGTTACGACGACGTAGATCGAAAAGAGAAATCCCAGTGGGCGTCGCGATATTTTGACGTTTGGCCAGCCGATTTACCTCGCCGTATGATTTCGCAAGGACGAACTCTTATTCTTGGCCCAACGTGGATGAGTTACGAATCGACGAGTTTTTCTTCGCTAGAAAATCGAAATGACTCACAAAAACTTCAGTTCGAACAGAATCTTTCGTCTTTCCCTCCTTCTCTTTCCCCCCACTCTCTCTTTGTTTCGTTCTTTACCTCGTTTCGTTGAAAGAGAACAGTGATTTCTGGTAGCGTGGAATTTATTTCGTTTATTTTGTTTTCCCCTTCTTTAATGTATTTTTTCCAATCGTGTAAGCACTCCTAGCCTTTCTACGTTCGTCTTTCCTTCTGGTTTTCGTTTGAATGGAATGTTACAGCACTTCGCGAGATTTCAATTATTTCCGAATCCAACGAACAGTGTTCTGTTTATTTGCAGGTTACGGTCGTAGTTCTGTTGATTTACGTCGTACTGTTTGGATAGAAACAGAAGCTAAATAGAGATTTACGGAGAACGCAATTTCTCGAAAGGTACACACATCTTCGATTGTAAATTTAAGATTTATTAGTTGGATGTTTATATTCCCTTTCTATTGGGAACAATAACCTTCACAAAACAACACGTCAGAAACTTCACAGAAACTTGACGCGAGCTAAGGTTAGGTTATTGCGAAGTGGGATTCGATTACATTTGACTTAACGCCACCTGAGATCTGTTAGATCGAAACTGATCGACATTCGAATTGATATTAAATCGAAGAAATCCAAGTTAATTGATTGGTGGTAATCGATTTTATCTCGGTATTTAGTTCATATAAAACGTCATTTCTACATTCTTCCAGGAACAATCAAAAGAGGCGGTTCCATTTCCTGCAACAAACGACTTTTGTAACAAACACCTGATGTCTATTAATAAAAACCCACGCGACCTCCGAGTTATGTAATTGTTACCGTGTAACCTGAAATTACATCATCGATTGTTTTATAAGGTACGATCTCCCCATTCAAGGCAAACGCGAGGCAATTACCTACCAACCGTTCTAAAATCGATAATTCGAGTATAATTGGCGAAATCGATTCGTAATTATGCAAAAGAAGACGTGACGAGCCTGTAAAACAGATTTCTGTATTAGCTGCAACCGCCAAGCTCCACCTTTCTGTTTTACCGGTCACATGCTTTCCACACGACGGTAAAAAAGGAACCTGTGACAAGTTTGACTACTGTAACTCGTTAAAACCAATATAAATCGAATTTAATTCGCAATTAACTTTTTCAGATGCCCAAACATCGTACAGGGAAGAACGGTCCCGATTAAAGTAAACATTCCGTCGTAGACGACTAATTATAACTTACTAGCAATTTTTTCACGTGTTATACGACGATCAGGATATTCCAGTTTATACGAAAAAAGGAAAGATCGAAAGATCGAAGATAAAAAGTGGAAAATTATTTAAAGGATCTCGAACGAAAGACTCGATTAATATTCATATCTCTCGTGGTGAACGTTTTATTCAATTACAATAATAATCGCCATCGTCGCAGTGATGATGTTAATAATAATAATGATAATAATAATAATCGTAATTACAGTAATGATACAGTAATAATAAGAATAACTACAACGGTACCAATCGTAATGATGATAATAACAATAATAACCGAAATGATAATAGTAATAATAACAATGACGATGAGAGTAATAATAACGTATAATAATATTCACGGTCGTAGACGTAACGCAATGACTATGGTAACGGTAACGATAATAATAACGGCGATAACAATGATAATAATATCACGGAAAAAGGACAATCGACAGGCTGCTGTGACCATACAATCATGATCGCGACATCCAACGACGATGATAATGGACGACGGTAACAATAATGAACAACAACAATCGAACGAACAATTAAAGCGTCTGCGATTTAACAATAATCAAACAATATGATCGCGCGCGTTGCACTCGGAGAAACGATGAATCTTCTTTGTCCCTTTACATTTCATCTACGCGTGTCCGTGAGTGTTCGTGTGTATGTCCTTTGTGTGTGTATGTTCGCGTGTACTTACATACAGGGTGTGAGAGAACCAACCGGCCACCCTCCTATCCAACGGGAACGTAAGGGTTCGTTCGATCGAAACGGAAAAATTTCACCAAAAACACCCTAATTATCTCCCTCCCGATCTAACCGATTCGTGGTTTTCCAGGTACCGGGACTCATCGTCGATTCCCTCGCTAAAACGGAGAAAAGAAAGCGGACTTAGAAATCTAATTTCATACAACACGGTTGCGCAAAACGGGGAACCCGATAAGATCGTGGCGATATTTCTTTTACACCCTGTATACGTCCAACGTATCGGTGTACACGTATGTTACCGGTGTAACGATTTCATCTCTTCCATCTCCGTTCCACGACGATGAGCGTATTAATCGACGGGGTCGTTAATTAACGCGACGAGCCTCGTCGTTTACATCCTCCGTGTGTTTCCACGTGTAACTCCCCCTGTGAGTGTGTGTCGCTAGGGTGTACGAAATCGGCTGCAAAAAGGATGATCTATGAAATGCGGTATGAACGAGCGTTTTGCTTATGTACAGAGTGTGTTCCTTGAAACGTTACGAGTACAGTTACATCTGCTTTACAATTCGATTAGCGCTTTTGTCCGCCGACGACCACGGCCGATTCGCTATTGCCCGGATCATTCTCGTCCCTTGGCTCCTCCACCGCTTCCAAGTTCCCGCTCGTTTAAACACGGTCGGTTCAGAGGGTGTGTACGAAGCTTAAGCTAAGGATTCACGCGAGTTGCCTCGATCGACCTGTAAAACCCAGTCGGTGTAACGAGCAAAGGCTTTTTCGTTGGAAAAATCGCGATGATTTAGGCGAAACAGGGTTTCGTACACGGTTAAGGGTGGTTCTCCGAAGCTTTTGTTTCATCCCCTAGATAGCTTCGAAAGGATTCCAGGTGTCGAAGATCACTAACAATTAGGAATTTTAAGTTTTGACAATTTTTTGACTCGAGGTTTGACTGTCATTTTTCTCCTGCTTTATACGAAGGGAAATTGGATCTTAAGAATCTTCAAATGGGGATGAATTAATTTCTACCTAGATCTCTAGTCTATAGCGTTTAAATTAGCGTTCCATTAAACGTGGAATCCTATTTTCGAATTTTATTAAATTTAATTAATAATCAAAGTCTCCTTCATACCGTGCAAATCCAAAGCGTTAAGAAGTTTCGAATTTTAAAGGAAAGGATTCTTAATATTTATATTTTCAATTCTCTGTCCTGATAAATTAACTAGAAAACTCGGAACTCAGGTCACTGACAACTTAGATCTCTCAGTTTCGAGTTCTCCAATCCCAAATTTTTCGATTCGAACGAAAGAACTCCTGCTCCCTTCCAATAGATCATCCCGAGGGAAAAGGCAGTTTCCTAGTGCTTGCGACGAAATCCCTGACTCGTTTTTCATCGACGATCGATCTCTCGATCGATTCCAGTGCTCGTCAGCACCCACGGGTCCACGGTCGATCGAGAAAAAGCACGTTTGCGGATGGTGAAGGTGCGAAAGCTGAACAGGTTTAACGTGGGTACGAGTCCGTGTGTCTCTCGGTTTGCTTCTCTCTTCGCTAAGGCTTCCCTCCAAACACCTGTCATCTATTGCGACTGGTTGCTCCATTGCTTCTGTAGCTTCCCCTTCGATATGCAACCCGCCCAGTTCGTTCGCTAATCGTTTCGAATCCTGTTCACCGATTGGGGACATTGAGCAAGTTTTTAGAATCAATTTCACTCTGCATTAGGTCATTTTCGAGTGACGCGTGTTCTCCAATTTTTATTTCTTCTTTGCAATTAAATGGAGCCAAGAAATAGAAGATTTTAGAAATGCAAAATAGAAGAGGGAATAAAGAAAATTATTTTTAAATTAGGCAGTAGGAAAGAGAGTGTGTTTCGCGAGAAATCTCAAGAAAGCAGAATTTGGGTGACGAGAAATGACCTGTTTCGTTGCACGAGTTCGATAAAATCGATTCCAAATGCCCCAGCAATGTT